TGCGTTGGAAGTCAAAAAGACACTGTGAGTACTGAAAGGTCAAGTATGGAATAAATTAATTCTGTAATTGATAACAAGCGACTTCCAGCTCTGGCAAATTATGTACTTAAATCAAGTTATTAATATTTGTTTGTTTTCTGAACTGAGTGTCTGTGATTTTATCCRCAGATGAAAAGAACCAAGGAATTGAAGATTTTGACCTGAAGTTAAAGGATGTGGGTGTTTTGACCCAGCATCTTCTGGCTTGTTGAAGTGAATTTTCACAGTGTTGTGAATATTTTGCATAAGGATTATTTATATTTATTTATCTCTGAGGTCAGTGTTTGTTAATTTTTAATGTAATCCTGAATGAACTCTTATAGTAAACACTGAGGTTATTTAGAGGAAGCATAAACCAACCACTGGTATTCTTACAGCTCCAGCAGCTTCAAACCCCCCACTAAAGCAGAGCTGAAGACAGAATTCTAAGTTTCATTACATACAGAGCATTAGTAATGTGCTTTTTTTTTTTTGCCTATTTATTTGCAATTGTTGTCTCAAAGCTGGGACAAAGAGGGAAATATTTTGAATTTTGAGTTGATTACCATGCTGCTCTTGGTCCACCCAAGGTGTGAGATGCCTGTGCCTGCACTCTGCAGCCTCCTGTGACACCAAATGCAGCATCAGGAAAACAATTCCCAGATATTGTTAGAGAACTACCTGCAAGAGAGTGCCTGACAAGAGCTTTTCAATCTGATAAAGACTATGGAAGGGCTCTTTACAGTCTCCTGATTAAATGAATTGTCTCCCAAAGTAACTGATGCTAGTGAATTAGCTTCCAGCTCCACCATGATGAATGCCTTATTCTGCTTACTGGGCTGTTGCAGGATTTCTAGAGGGGTCATACCTGTGAGTGTCATTTCATGTAGGTTGGGGCAGCACCTGTGGTGTTCCCCTGGAGAATGCCAGGACTGCCCTAACAAGGTAAATGTTTTAAGTCCCAGAAATGACTATGAATACTCACAGTCACATTTTTGCTTTTGTTAAATAGTGTCATGTACCCAGCAGCTGCCGGTTCTGTACCAATAAATTCTGGCAGCCTCAACATCAGCTTGTCTTTGACCCTTGGATGGCATCACCCAGAGATGAAGCAATGAACCAAATGACTTGGGAGCTTTTAGAACAATGTTCAGAGAAGCGTCTTCCACTGCAAAGCAGAAAAGGCATGAATAATTTAAAGACAGTGCTTTTACTCAACTACTCCTCTTTGCTTACGAAGAAAGGTTTGGACTTATAGGCATGAAAATAAACATACTGAGGTAAATGGGAATGCCACCTAATGTAATGAAAAAAAAAAAAAAAAAAGTTAAAGCATAGAGGATGATGGGGTTTTAAGTTTCCTTAACTTGAAAGTTATATGATGAGACAACATTTAYAAAATCTCTATTCAATTGCCATGCTGACTAGAGGTGCAACATCATGTGCTGGAAAGAGTTAAGGATAAAATATTATCTGTTTTCTAGACCATGAGAAAAATTGGGGCAAGATTGAAAAGTTATACCCTAGAGACAACATTCAAGCCTGGGCCATTCAGGGCATGTGCATGTAGATAACACCAGCAGAAGCTGCCAGTTTTCCCCCCAAAAGGAAATAYCTCTGGTATGTTACACAGCAGACACAAGTGGAAGAACCCCCTCACTTAGCAGCACCCTGCAAAATGTGAATCTAGATATTATAGTCATTATGTTTCTCTGCTTTTAAGGTATTGAATCATATTCCAGTGCATTATGTTTAATCTGTTAATCTCAAACTGCCTCAAGAATGGCTTTGTGTGTCAGGAGAGGCTTTCCTGGTGCTTCAGATCTGWATCACCAACTGGATTACAGAAGACAAAGGTAATTAATCAATTGATTTCTCTTATTACATGAGCTTTTAGGATTATATGGATAATGTATCTTGAAGCTTTGATTATTAGTTTACCCTTTTAGAAGTAATTTCTACAAATAAATTTCAAATGTCAAATGTATTTTATTGTCRGGAATCAGCATAAAGAAGGAAGGAAAGCAATCCAGCATAATTTCTTATTAGTAACAAAAATGAAGGAAAAACATCTTTTAGAAGAGAGAGAATGAAAAGAAAGAAGGGGAAAATATTGGGAGCCAATTTGTAGACACTCCCCCAAAAGGTCATGGGAGGCAATGGAAGGAATGAAACTGGTGATGGAAATCAGCATCAGAGGCAAACATCCCAAAAATGCAATCTTCAAAAAAGCAGCAGGCAATCAGGCAGGGGTGCTGTGARAATCCACAAAGCTCACGTCAGCACTAACCTACAGAAGCCACCAGCTCCGGTCCCYGTCACACCCATGCAACACCCCTACTTCCAGAGAGCTGCACTCATGGGCTCACAAACTTGGACATAACACCAAGAGCCCAACTTAAAACAACACAGGCCTGGCACCCACTTTCTGTGGCTCCAGGCTGGGATACARTGACTCACTGAATTGTCCCTGTACGAGGCATGGTGAAAGCCTGAGAAGAACTCATTTRCTTGGACTGAGTAAGATGATGCTGACAAAATAATTCTCAGGTGTAAAAATAGAGGGATCTGAAAACTGAWCGTACCTAAATCTAAAAATTACATAAATTGTTGGCACTAATTGCTAAAATTACTCTGTTACCAGTTTTGGAAATAGTTCTTATTCCTTCTGCATTAACAAAGAAGGGGGAAAAGACATAGAAAACTGCAGTGCTGCTGCCTGTCCTAACGCAAAGTGAAGCTGTTAAATTGCAGGCTGCAAACACACACAGGGACTCATTTTTCATACAAATATTTTGGACTTAAGCTGACCTTTGCTTAAAAATACTGCATGGAATAACTTCTGTGCTTGATTTTATCTGTTGCACAYGTAGACTTAATGTCTCTCCATTTCCTGCCCACCAATAGAACTGGGATAAGACCCAGAATTTTGGCTATTCTGGCTTTTCTATTTCAATCCTGGTAACTTTAAGTAGTGATATTACATGAAGAATATAAATAATTTCTCCTCTGCCTTATTTTGGTTATTCTGGGACACATTCTGCCGTGTATTGATAAAAGTTTAAAAATAGGTATAGTCAAACATAAAAATATTTTTGTGAGAAGAAAGTGCACGTTTCTTTTACAGAGAATGTAAATATTAGTGCCCTCTATGGAACAAATAAGTTCAAAGGTGTAGAGGGGTAAATATTTTTCCTTGTGTTAATTCCATATTTCAACTTTATAGCCAGGCCTGTATCAGCATTAAAGCTTTCACTTACATTAAAGCAGGAAAAGGCCCACCTTCCCCAAATTCTAGCAACAGCTTTGAGCTAAAATTTCTTCACCTGACTTAGCTGCGTGGACCTCATGAAAGCCTTCAGGCACCATGTGGATAAAAATATTCAGAAGAGTMTCCTAAGGCTGCATCCCTTTGGCACAGCAGGTGAGAGAAAAGCGCTGGAGTGCATAGCCCTAACAACAGCAGGGAAGGAGTCGAAAGGAGGGGCTTCAATATGAAAACCAGGAATAGTTAAACAATATTTTTCTTACTATGCTTAGTATGATGGGAATGTAATAAAAAAACACCAAAGATAAACCCTGTTAGATAACACTTGCTTTGATGGTGGTTCATCTGCTGGGTGGAGGATGCCTGGAGCTGCTCTGAGCACRGCACTGTCCAGCAGGATGCTGGGGGGGCAACTGGGGTCAGGGCTGTGATTTGTGGCAGTGCTCTAGGGATAATCCTGCCAGTGCTTTTCTGTGCCAGGTTAAGAGCTCTTGCCAGGCTGCCAGGGGCATCCATACCCTTAGGTAGCAAGCAGGATCATGCTCCATGTTCACTGATGCAGCTCAAAGTTGGCTCTGTAGGGACAAGCACATGGAATGCTTGAGCACATGTGAGGCATGAGGCAACAACACATAGCTYGAAGAGAGGAGCCACAAGCCCTGTGCTCAGCTGGGCTCAGTTTCACTTTGCTCAAGCAAATCCAGGCAGTTCATAGACCAGTCTTGCTGTCAGGCCAGGGAGAGCAGAACTGGCTAAGGGAATGTGTGTTTCTCACCCAGAGGATTTATTTTGCAGATACCAAGCGGTGCAACCGGCATTCTGATCCAGGTGCCCAAGGCTGGGTACCCTTTGGGAGACACGGCGTGGTGCAGCTTCTGGAAACCTTGGAGCTTTGAGGGAACGTGGAGCTCAGCATGAGTGTTGACAGTGTGCAAGGACCACATGGAAAGAGGTACATGTGCACTCAGAGAGTCAATGTTTTGGTTTCCTCTGATGTGCTGCTTAAGGGTTAGGATGCACACTTGGAGGATTTTAAAGAAATCTATGTGTTATATCATGCCTGGGTGATTCTGAAGAAATGTGTGTACTTATATTTGGCTACACCTGGCAGTGAAGTCACGGCCACAAGTGTTCAAAAAAATGTCTGAAAATTCATTTTATCTGTCTTTTGGGGGCCAGTTTTCTTCAGCTGCTTTGAAAGGCACAAACAACGGGCGGGAAAACGAACAGTCCGTTACCGGGCGGCTCGCCCAACAAACCCCTCCGCTGCCTCGCAGTTAAAGAGCTGCGAGGACAAGGGCGAGCGGCAGGTGCCGCGGGCGCGCAGACGCTCGCTCCCTCAGCCGCTGGCGGGCGGGCAGCACCGCTTCTCCCGACCTAACGGGCAACCAACCGCGCCGGGTGCGGGATCCATTAGCGAGACTCCAATTTCGGGGCCGAGCGTCCGCCAGCTCCTCAAGGTACCRGCGTCGGCCACACCCAGGGCCCCGACAGCGCTGCGCACATCTGGCGGCTCCAGCTGTGCCCGCGCCTGCGCGCGCCGCGGAGGGGCGGGCGCGGCTCCCGCACACACACATACACACAGGGCAGGCGCCGCCCCTCGCCATTGGCGGAGCGGCCTCTTGGTCCCGCCCCTCCGGGGGGCGGACGGCCTCGCCATTGGCCGCGCGGGCCGGCGGCGCCTCTCGGTTGGCTGCAGCGGCGCCGTGGGCGGGGCCGCGCCTTCACCGTGAGGTGCGGGAGGGCCCCGGCCGCAGCCGCCGCCGCCGGTTCCGGATCCGCGGGGGAGAAGCCGCGGAGGGCGATGGCGTAAGTGCGGGGTTGGAGCCGGGACCGGGCTGCCCTCCGCTTCCCACCGGGATGGRCCCGGCGCGGAGGGGTCGGCCCCGCCGCTTGCCTTGGGCCTGCCGGGAACACGCAGCCGCCCCCGCGCCGGGAGGAGCCCCGGTTCGGTGCRGGGTTCCGCCGGGCCGGGACGGGGACGAGGCCTGGTGTTCATCTGTCCGCCCCGGAGGGTGGTGTGGTGRCCCCCGGTGCCGGTCCCGCCGTGCTTTCCGTGGTGTCGGCCGCTTCCCGGGGGAGCGGTGGGAGGGGAGGCTCCTCCGGTGTCGGGGATTCCGTGTTTTCCCTTTGGCGTGGGTTATCGCCGTGCAGAAGGGGTGTGAGGCCAGGGGGCGGCAGCTCAGGCGCCTCCAGTTGTGTTTGGCCTGCGAGGGAAGTTTCCYTGTGCTGGTCCCTGGGCGGCGTGAGGCGATCTCTGCCAGTGCCTCTGGTTCTGAGAGTTTAACACACACACAGTGACTGAACACGGCGTGCACCTGCTTTTTGGTGTGTCTAAAGCTGTAATGGTAATGACACGTAATGGTGTTATGATAACGTGCTTGCACTTCGCGTTATCAATAAAAAACTCCACATAATTATCAGTGTAACATGCACATAACATATATAATACATAACATAACATTGATACGGTGGAGATGTGTTTTGGAGGTGGCTATGTAGCAAATATCCCAGTCACAATCTATGTCTGGATTGGTTTCCCATCTTAAAACACATTTCCTCAGCAGCTTTCACTCAACTTTGTGAAAACTTCCAAAGTTGGTAGTTTGCCACACCGTGTAACTTTATCAGGTCAATATTGAAAAGGCCACGGTTGTTGCCATGTGAGTTCTTCTGTTGTGTCATTTAATCCATTAATTCTGCTTTTCTGTCTTGTTCTATTCATTGCAGCCGTGCAGGGCTTTTTCCCCCCACTGCTTTTTATGTGTAGTAACCAGCTAAACAATGGGGCCAGAAATTTTGGCAACTGAGAAGAAATACTGGAGTGTAGGAGGGAATATTCTTCTTGTTTGTAAAAGTATGTCAATAGGTTATTCAAACAGTCATTGATAAAAACAGTACTGAGCATCCGGTAAGGCAGTTGGCTCTGAATGGGTGTTCAGGGATGTTTGCTTAGCATCACGGCCTGGATTTGCACCATTTGACAGTGTTCGTGGGTAGGTTTTGCTCGTGGTGGGTCATCTGGGGTTGTGTGAAGGTATGGACACGTTCAGGGAGAGCTCTCATCCTTGTGTGTGGCATGCTGAAGTCACTCAGCCTTTTGGGAATGCTGTTAGAGAACTCTGACATGTGCAGTGAGCATCAGCTGCTGTTTGGTGATTGCTCTTTTGCACCATTTTATCCCGTSGGAAATAGGCAAGAGTTTAGTGCTTTCTGTAAGCAATGGGCAGAGTTATTTATCCTGTGTTTACTGTGAAGCGTGATACCCTCTCCTGGTAACTTCTTCCCTTCTCAGACAACTTATTGTAGCACTTGTTGCTGCACCAAAATCTTTGTGGTGACTCCAGGCTGGGATCAGCCTATAGGCCTTTCATGATGATGGTATTTGTAGCTACAAGACTGACTTTTAGTTTGATTTATGGCAGACTTCCCTTTTCCCTAAATTGTGCTGATGTGTCAGAGRAGAAATTTAGAGGATGTATACTTCTGGAAAAACTCATAGGTAAGGAGTAGATGCCATGGTTWCATAGAATATTTCAAAGGTACAGTACTGAAGCTCAAATTAAAAAAGGGCCAGGCCCCAAAGGGAATATTTTTATTTTTCTTTCTAAGTTGAGGAGTGAGCGTGTGGGAAATTCTTTTTATTTCTACTGTTATGAGCCTTTAGGTTGCATGATTTGTGGGTTTTGGGTTTTTTTTTTTTTGGTTTTGTCCTTTTTTTTTCCTCTGCAGCATCAAAGCCTGGCAATGTAGCAGGAACAGAACCATCTTAAAGTTTTAAAACTTAAATGAAAAATCATTCCAAGTTCTGTCAGGCATTCCTAGGATGGCAGTGGAGTGCTGCAGGAGTGCTGTGTGTTGGTTGCCATAGCAGGAATTTGTCTTTGATCTCTTCTGTAGGAAAACTCATGTCCTGTACTATTAAAAGCAGATAAACAAAAGATACCACTTGTGCTGTGAAGTTCTACCTCATTGGGTAGGCTATTGTGAGAATGATTTTTATCTTGTATCTTACAGTTCCTTTGAGTGTGCTTTTATTTTGATTTAATTAATTTTGAAGTRGACCTGTTATTTACTAAGCTACTGTAGTGCAAATTTTGTTTAACTAAGGCTTTAACTAAGGCACACCGGCTCAACCAGGTGTGGCTCTGCTGGGCTCTGCTTTYGGTTCAGCTGCTTCTGCTGGAGGTTGTAGCAGGATTTCATTAGTATAATTAAAACATTTGTTTTGTTTRCAGTTTACCGCTAGTGGGACTTMGAGCACTGGCAGACAGGGAGGAAAATAGACCTGAATCTTTGCTCTTTTCTTAAAAAACACAGARTTCTTAATTTTAATTGGGTGTCAGGTATGAAGACGACGCAGCATGTCCCATGGCAGAATTGCTCTATGGGTGCTGTCACTTCCCTTGGCTTTTTTTTGGGGTATTTTTTTAAGAACAACTTTCCTTCTCTTGCTTCCTCTTTCCTTTGCTTGTTGACTGAAGAGTCGCTGAGTTTCCTAAGCTGTGCTGGTGTGGGTTTGAAGTGTTTGACCTAGCTGAACAGTTTTGGGACAGGTGCCAARGTTGGCAGCTTTTTGTTTTGTGAGATATGCATTATGTTCCTCTGRGTGCTGACAGTGTGAGGATATCCTTAGAGGAGAATTCAGTCCAGTTGTGTTCTGTGTTTGTGAGCCTCYTTTCTAATATAATTAATTTATCTAAAGCTCTGATTTCATAGCTGAAGTACTGGAGACCCTTTGGAAGGCAGTGTTGGAGTGGGTAATGCAAAAATGCCTTTTCTTTTCTTTAGGGAACTGCCTTGGGTATGGCTTCTTTTTTGGAGATGAGGCATCCAGACATGTTATCTGCATTCATGTATTTACAGCAGGTGGATTTTCCTCCTGCCATGTAATGTGTCACTTTGGGTGTAATTGTAACTGCACTGATTTATAATTGCTGCAAAAGTTGGGAGTTGAGTATCCTCAGAATGGTAGTTACCTSTAATAACACCAATTAACCAAGCACTTCATTTCTGTGAGGATCTGAGGGATATGTCTGGCAAATTTAAACTCCTGGTTTATTCCCCCTGTGAATTCCAGCAATWATAAGGGAATTGGCTGCATCCATTATTTCCCTTCCTACTTCATAACCATTTAAAAGTATTTCTTCTCTATATGAAATGCCAGTTTTCCCACACCTTTGGATACTCATTATATTCAGCTGTTTCTACAAGGACTTGCCATGAAAACAGCTTTACAAAGGATATGATGAACAGACTTTTTTTTTTTCTTTCTCCTTTTCTTGCCTACCTCAAGACCCACATCACCCTAATGCTCCCAGGCACCGAGTAAAACATTTGTTCTGTCTGTCCTCAGCTGTAGGTGCAGGACAGACCTTTTATAGGTTGCTGCAGCTGTCCCTGCCAAGTGRCTGCACTCTGGTGACTGAGAGCCCGGTCACCGAGCTTCTGGTTTCTCTCCTGCCAGCTCTTGCATAAATGCATACCTCCTATAAATTTTCAATGACTTAGCTCAAGCAGAGGTTTGTTCGTGGTGTTGAGTTAATTTGCCAGGCTGAGGTTAAAATGAGTTTACCTATCTGATGCGATTGAAATGAGTTTATAAAGATTAGGAGCAKCTGCTTTTCAGTTTTTGGCTTGTTAGCGATGGAATATTTGCGCTTAAAATTGGATTGGGCTTGTGACRCTGGAAGCAGGCTGAAAATGAAGTGCATCCCCCTAGGATTGTAATTTCTCTTGCATCTTTTTAGTACTGTGAAAATGGATCAATGTGTGACACAAGTAATTAAAATTCACTTTGTAAAGTCTGCTAAGTTTGTGTATCTGCTATGAAGAGAGCCTGTCTGACCACAGGGTGCAACTTTACAGTAATATCAAACCCTCACATCTTCAAGCCAGTCCAGTKCCTGCTTTGAGCCTGCTAAGTGCTCCAAACATGCACAACCTGAAAAGCAGGCCCTGAGAATTTCAGTTTGGGCATCATAAATAAGGGACTTGGCCTTTATCTCTCCTTGCTTCAGAGGTTCATTTGCAGAAAGACGACTACATGATGCCCCAAAAGGCTGCTGTGAAGATAAAATATGAGTATCAGGGTTCTGTCACCTCAGTGCTGCAGATTCTTCCTTTTCYCTTGTCCTCTTCCCAGGAGAAACCTAATACATTTTGTGTTTATTAACATGGTATGTGGTAAATGTGATCCATGAGTGATATAACAAATAGTAAAAATATGCTTAAAAAGTAAGGCAGGGGGAAAGGGAAATAAATCCAAGCAGTTATGGTTTTGGACTATATTTCTGCATGCTGACTGAGCTATTCATCACAAAACAGCAGAGACCTTGAGAAAARATTATAAATAAATGCATAGATACAAATGTTCTGGGTTTCCGTTCCTCTTTGTTACATTTTCTTTTGTGTATTTGCGTGGTTGGCAAGACTCAGTTTCRCACATGGACTTGGGTCTTGTCATTCAAACAGTAATTCCTTAAYGTTTGTAGAGTTTACTTCACAAGAATGCAGTAGGCAGCATGAAAGAACATTCCAGGCTCAGCAACTTGTGAGCTGCTCCTGGAGAGTGCAACAGTTTGGTCTGATTGCAAAGTGAAGTTTGCACTCTGGAGTAAATGTAACAAGAGTGTGCGTAGTGAGGGGCCTGCAGGATTTAAACCAATGTTATAGTGTATAGGGTGGAAAGTGTGTAGGACTGCGGACAGAAAGCAATACTGGTTACTGAAAGTAGCAAATATCTGTCCTGAAAAGACTGCATCTGTTCCTCTGAACAATCCTGATGAAGAGATCCTTCACCTTCATCCTCTGGGCTTTCTAAATGCCCAGGGACGTTATCAACGGCGTGTACTCCTTAAGTCTCTGCTTGCATCCCCTTTCTATTGCAGTAATTCATAATCTGAGTGGATTAAGCATCTGATTGCCCTGAGAGGTGTGTTGAGAGCTCGCATCCAGTGCAGGTGTTGCTATTGCCTGATTTTGGGTGGTTACACCTTTATTGCCAGCATCCTGTTCCACAGGGGACTTGATCAAGGACAAAGACCTAACAAAAGAGAAAAAAAGTAAGTCAGTAGGCCAGGGTGTTAAAGGATCATTTTTGAAGCACCACTATGATATATTGATGCATGATGACTGATGGAAGATTCCTGAATTTATTTGCATGCAGGTAGTTAAAGTGTCCCAGAAAAAAATTCCAAGTATATCTAGTTTATGGTTATGGATGGTGATGACAGAAAAAATGATGAGTAGTGTCTTTATTTAAGTAGCTACATACCAGGATCCAATGCTTTCCGTCTCCAAGCTTCTTGCCACAGTCCTATTTAATGATTTTTAATGTCTTGTCTCAGTATCACATAATGTTAGGTGATAATTTCTTACAAAAAAGCACCATGGTTTGCTTCCTTGAGGAGTTAAACAGTGGCAGTGTTTGTTGAGGTAACAGATGGGCATTCCTCACCKACTGACAGCATTTCCATGGTTGTCTTGATCACAACAGAATGACTCTGTTATCCTTTGGTAAGAAAGGGAGAGAAGGAGTTCTTCCATCCTCTTGAGCTGTTGTTTTTGGTTTCTCCCTTTCCCCTGTTTCAGGGGTTAAACGCTCCTGGAGGCTGCCTGCAGAGGCATCATCTGCTTCATCATACAAACTGACATAAGGCTTTTTTATTAAGGTACTGTGCATGTCTTAAAGCAAATCACAGTGCCATTGTGTGATTTAATTTGCTCTTCTGAAGTCCCTTCTAAAACGATGGCTCCTTTTTTCAAGTCTGTGTATGTGTGTGTGATGCTTATTCCWCCCCTTTGCAGGGGAGTGAGTTGGTAGCTTTCTTATCATCCCTGCTGGAAACGGGTGTTGGTTCATTGTTTTTTTTTTTATTGTTTCCTTTTGCTGCTCTCATGTTCTTTCCTCCCCATTCTCTTTCTTCTTACAGAAGGGGTAATGAACAAATTATTAGCACTTTTCTTGGGACTATACTCCTATTAGCTCAAAACACAGGCTGTTGGTTCAGGGTACAACAAGAGAAACAAGTGCAATAAAGGCAGATTTTTCCTACTTCTTCCACATTTTATTTTCCAGTTGCAATAACAAGAGTAGTATTTGTATTAAAGGAAAAAATAGATTAATTGCCATGCTTATTGCTAACATTTCCAAATATTGTTACTTATTATTATATATAATATACTTATTGTTATACTTAGTTTTTCAGCAGCATAACAGCTTTTGAATAATAAGGACTCATCCATGTTACTTAGTCTGATGTTCTAGAGCCCTGATGGAGAGACCATCAGACACTTCGTGACAAAGGGAAATAAAATCTGCTCCTATTTTTTGAGGGCTSAATACTGTCAGTAAGACAGGCTGCCAGGAGCTGGAAGGTGTTAGAAAAKAGAAGAAAGAAAAAGCAGAATTAATGTCTCTCTTTTTGCAAGAAGATTTGACAGGTAACATCCAAGGGGGAAGACTTCAAATGAAACCAATGCAACAAAAATACTGCTTTGTAATTGCAGATGTTGCTGCATTGAGCAACTCCCTGCTAATCACATGTAATTAATATAACCCCATTGCAAGGTGATTTATGGGTGGTTTGAAGAAATGTGTAAGATCAGGACTGGTTTTCTTTGTAGCAAATCCACCTGGTGGTCAGTTTTTATAAAATCACGCMAATCCATCCTAAAGCAGAATGGACCCAGTGGATTAGGAGATGTTGGGAATTTTCCATAACTCCTGGAAATGTCTGATTTGGGCTTTCTTTCTGCAAGGGCAGGATTTTATTCTCACGTTACATATTTGCATGTTAGTAGACTTAGTACAGATTCGTTTTTACTTGCATGTTCAGTTACCTTTTGACTTCCTGCTGTGGCACAACAGTTTTAGACATTTATTTGCTTTTATATGTTTTACAAGGTACTAAATTTGGAGAACATATCATGGGATTTTGTTGATACGTAATTTGTTTGGGGCAGTCACGTGCCTGGAAACTGTTCCAGAGAGATGAGTGGAAGTATTTTTGGAACTTTAGAGTAGAAGAAGAGGTAGCTGAGAATTGTGAATMTRTTATKGAAGGAATAAAACKATAATGTTCATATTTGTGTGAAACRGACTGCTGGCGATGATTTAACATGGTACATAGTCATTTTTTCCAAATGTACTGTGCTTGTTACTCATTTTGGTTTTCATATGTACTTTTTTTTTTCCTGCAGTTCTATAGGTGCTGATGCAAAAACAGCTTAGCAATGGATCAAAGAAAAAATGATAGTTTTGTCCCAAGTATCACGCAGTTGGAAGACTTCCTGACAGAACATGACTCCAACGTGGTTTGGCTGTTAGTGGGTAAGGTTAACCTCTTCTGTTTTGGTTGAATTTCTATTATAATATCATAACAAAGGATTAGSATGACAGCCAGCTACAATAACTTCCTTATACCAATATGTACSTACCTGCCATTTAATATGGTGCAGTTTGGAAAGTGATCTGAAGACTATTGTGTTTAATGACACAGCTTCCAGCCTAAATTGTGTGCCACAATGAGCCTTTAAGCCAAGCTGTCATGTAATCAGTTATGAGCTGGATTTGTAAATGTGTCAGATTTAGACATGCTAATTTTTTTATAACACTGGTGCTTATATTTATGTAGGTASTTTTATTTTCTTAATCTATAAAACAAGTGGATCAAGGAGAGCAAAACAAATATGAAGTTTTACTCAGGTCTGGGTGAGAATACTACAAGTGTGCAATGAATTCAGACTTGTACAATGTAGATAATGCTTGCTTTTCAGCCTTGACTCTTGGACTTGGAGTGAGGGGCAGCACAGGAACAACGTTTTCACTTTCACTTTTGACAAGTTAAGGCAGTCTGCTGGCTATTGCCATACTGGAATTATTTTTCAATAGGCCAAATTAAATGGAAAGGACAGATAAATGARCTGAGGGTGCTTCCTGTTTGTTATTTTTTTTCACTTTTAATGTGTTGAAATGGAAASTTTGTAYWMAACATAGAGTTCTCTGTGTAGTCAAGATGAAAATAGGGGAAGTCACTGATAGTAACTCATGGTAAAACATGGAACAGATGCAAATATATGTGAAAGATCTGTCTTCAAAAGCTTATGAGGCTTACTTCCTCTTATGAGGTTTGGATAGAAATGCATTCAAGTGACGTTTATTAACTGTCCCAGTTTCAACCAGCCTTTCCTCCTTTGCTTTTATCAGCTGACCTATGGCATCCTGTTCTAAGAGTGCATTAAAAGATATCAGTAATTTCCTCTCCTGAATGCTGAAACAGCTAACTATTGGTCTCAGTAAAAGGTGTTGAAATACATAAGCATGCTTGTCAAAGAGCTGTTGCTCACTTCTGGAATAATTCTAAAAACCACATGCAGTAAAACTTTGGAAATGTAATTTCCAAACTGTGGTTCACGTGAAGAGGCTTTTAAAATGAAGAAAAGTGGAATTATTGTGGACTTTATGGGATTTGGTGAGGGAAAAGGCTACAGCTGTGGCAGAGGTGAGACTAGTGGTGAAGGTAGTGGATGAGGACTGGAAATTGCACTGGTTTCCCGATTTTTCTCAGTATGTTGTCACCTTARGAGGGCACCTTCTTGACTTCAGCTCTCTAGAAGTACCTAGTTGAACTTTAATCTCAAATGAAGCTTTATTGCTAGAATGGACCCTCAGAGTGAGTCAGCTCACCTTTCTCCTTCCCCACGGAGGCCCAGCAGTGAGGAGCTGGCTCATCTGAACGCTGTCCTTGGAGTGTGCCTTCCCTCAATGCCAGCTGGAGTTTCTTTCCTGGGATGTGGCTTTCACCCTGCCTGCTCTTTCCCGTGTAATCACCCACACAGATTTGGTTTGTTTAACATGTCAAGSAGCTTATTGCCTGAGGGTATGAGCTGCTTGAATTTTGGTCACATTGGATCCATTTTTCAGAAAGGAAAAGACAAAGTCATGCAAGTCTTTTTCACCTTCTCTTTCACTTTGAAGGAAACGTTGTTATGAAGCAGTGGAATATCCCACTGAAAAATAAAAAAGGAACGTAGAATAACAGGATTTTTTTGTAAATATTTTGTTGTTTTATTTTTTTTTTAAGTAATCATCTGAACTCTCTCCGAAGTGAGGGTGCCATGCCCCTACCTCTGTCTGCACTTTAGATTTCCCGTAAAAGGGACAGTAAATATGATTTTTAGCATAAATGAAAAGCTTCTGTTACAAAGTTCACCTTTTTTCTACTCTGCTTTGGGTGAAACAGAATGGTAATTATCGTAAAGTGAATTAGAACAAGTCCATTCCTTGGTASTGTCACTCCTTTTGGGTTTGTCCTTCTGGAAGCTTTGAGAACCCTTGTAGTTAGAAATAGGTTACTAGCTCTTAATCAACTAAAGTAAAAATTACTTTGGGGATTAGYAGACCTAATTTTTTTTTTTTAAACCTGTGTCTCATTGGATTGGTATTTCCTTTTTTTCCTATCAAATTCAGTGCCTGAACTGTTGAGATATGAGCTAACCCAAGGGCTGGTAYGTTTCTCTCAGGATACAGCCCTTTAGGAAATAGTTTCATGATAATATTATTTCCTGTGATAATATATGAAAGACTAGAAATTTAAGTTGCTGTTGACAAATTGGAGAAGAGTAGCGAGGGGATGTAGTATGACTTTGGTGGTGTTGGGGTTTTTTTTAGGGTGTTCCGACATAAAAGTCCATGTGGGATAATGCATTTTACTATTCCATCATGATTACTGAACCTCTTGAATTATGAATGATGTAATGAAATGCATAGTACCTTCTGCATGTCCTCTGGGAGGGCAGGTTTTTTTATATTAGGGAATGGAAGAGCAGTGAAGAATCTGTATTTTTCTGGGCTTCCCATTTCCCCCTTTCCTCCCATCTCTTCACACCCTTCTCACATAATTTCTCTGAAAACATGCATTAAAGTGTCCCATCTCCAAATTTTTTGGAGAGCAGGACGAACACTGCTATGCCTTGTAGCCCTAGTAGGTAAGGTTTTTATCTGGGTCAGTGTATTTTAAAAAGTGCTTTAATTAATTGTAATCTTTCAACAGCAACRATATTGTCCTGTGGATGGATTATCTACCTAACTTACTATAATTCCCGGAACATTGGACTCATTTTAACATTGGTTCTTAACAGATTGTATAAACATGGCTACATCCATATTGGTAAGTTGTGATTAATATAATGACACTCTTTTCTGTTGCTTTTTATTATGCCTCAATTTTAAAAASTTGAAGTTTTCCTTTGTTAGATTAATTTGAAAATGTTCGCTATGCTGTATACTCAAAGTAGAGACTCGAGCCTTGAGTCCCTGTTCCAGCACTGTCCTTGCTTTCTAAATAAGCTGTCAGAACAACTAATCACAAGTTGATCCATACTGGGACTGTGATATGTGGAATTGATACTGGCTAGAACATTTTGCATCAAAAATCCATTAACTTTTTATTAAAATATTTTACACCTTTTTGAATAAAACAGGTCAGTACAAATCACTTGGGCACTCACCCACTTACAAAAATATCTGGTGCTGAGTCACAGGGGCCTGTAGCCCACAACCTAACTGCTCACACTTTTAATTTCTTTCACTTACTCCTCTGCCTTCCTCTGTCTGCTTCAGAGAATAGCAATCACTTTTGGTTCTGGACTTTTTCTGCAGCTCTTTGTGATAAAATGTAGTGAAAACTTWAAAGCAAAAAATCCCACCCACACCTGGCCTGCCAGAGACACCTCTGCAATTCATTTGTTTGTGTCCTCAAGAATCCAAGAACTGTATTCCAAACCATCTTCAAATCCAGGCTTTTTGAAGAGCAAAAATTAAACACTTAGTGGCTGCTGCGTTTGCTCTATAGAGTTTTATTAAWATTTCCCTGTGAAATTTCCATTAAATAAGGACAGCTGATCTAGCTGGCCAAATAGGTGGTATTCTTTTTAAACCTCATCAGCAAGTAGAACATAACATTAATTAAATCCCATGATTTATAGCTTGGTTTCAGTTGTTTAATGTTGATTTTTTTTTTTCCAATCTATGGTTTACTTAACTTTCTGTGGGTGAGATGAAAACCCTTAAGAAAAATCTGGACTATTGCATTACCTGCTGGTCTTTTCATGCTCATTAATCCTTCCTGCCTTAAACATAATTTGCCATAATAATTGGACTGAAATGCTTATAGCCATTTTAAAGTTTTTAAAAATAGTCCATCAGGAATCATTTCTCTGATTATGGCCTTGCACACAACGGCTTGGAACTATAAATGTTCCAAACAGCTTTTCTAGCTCTTTTCACAAGCTTTGCAAGGCACCTGGATGTTTCTGAGTGACTCATGTGCCTCAGGGGTTTGGTTGTATGGTTGGGTGGTGCCAAACCCAGCATCCTTTGGTTGTGTACTTTGTCTTGTGTGTTCTGARTCTCTGACTTCTYTTCTAAGGGAAAACTCAAGATATCWGGTTAACCCATTTCAGRTAATTGAATGCTGTATTCTGTCTGCTCACAAAATCAACGCCTTTAGGCTAACAAGGACTTTCTTTTTTTATAATTAGGTTCCTTTTCATTCTCTGTGCTCTCTGGGAAAGTCATGGTCCGTGAAATCTATTTCATCACAGAGGACATGTCCATCAGGTACAGATTTCCAAGGGAGTCCCCCTTCTAAATTAGGCTTTTAAATGGATGTCTGAATAGCACAAACCAAAATGCAGTCTTACAAATGAGCAGCATGTTTGTAAGTGTTAGACTGTCTCTTTTGGTGGTAGTATTTAACACTCCTACATACTTGTTAACTCATTTGCTGCTTTAGCCTTATCATTTGGAAGTGAGTGCTGGATAAGATTGTAGTTGTCCTTAATATCTGCCAAATAAACCACTACAGAGTGTGAAGGAGAGCTATTTTTTTCATTTATCTTTAACTCCTTCATGCTCCTGCATATGGAAGATTGATGTTGGCCAAATAGTTGGCATTTATTTACTGAGATTCAAAATAATTTKTTTCGTGAACTGCATGCCAGCAAATAGTTTGTAGTTTTGATTCCTGGTGTCAGATTTGGAAAGCCTTGAGGAGGCAGTGGATATGGGAWTTTATACAAGTTGCAGCTAAAGCTGAAATTGTGTAATACACTGTAATGTTTTGTGCTTTCATGTTGCTYGTACACTGCTGCAGCTGTAGATCTCTGCACAAACTGCATGTGGGGTGTTGGATTATCACTCAACTTCTGTTTTATTCCATTTTATTTGATTTAGAATTCAGGATGGATTTATCATATTTCGCTGGTGGAAGATGTACAACCCTAAGCAGAAGCAGCACGGTAGGTTTTTCAAAACGGTTTCCAAGTTTGAATTTACAGGTAGCTAACAAAAACGCTCTTCCTTTGCACCATCACAGGCAATTGCTTTATTAATATGTACCTGAAGTACATTGRATCCTCAGAAAATATGGATTTGTTCACTGGATGCAGAGTAGATGAAATAAATACAGGTTTCATTATCGGGGACATGAACTTTTCTTCAGACAAGTCATTAATCTTAATAGTAGGCTTCATTAGCTGCAGTCCAAGCATAATTGTCTCTGTATTGAAGCTGATAACTATGATAAATAAAGATGTYCTATGTTCTGGAAGTGATTTTAGTTTCTGAGTTTCAGTGAGTGTTGTGTGTATTTTAGCAAAAGTGTTACTGCATGGGATATCCTTTAGTATTTGACAAGCCTGTGTCTTGATGACATCTGTGGTTACAGAAGTGGGGGAGTGTGAAAAATTCATTTATTTTTCTTCTTTATCTTTGGCTGAAGATGGATGATTAACACAGATGCAAGAGATTAATTGTATCTGCAGAAAACRCAGTGAGAAAGCATAAGTGGCTTAGGGCTGTGTGCTTAATCATTTATAGGATTAGAATGTTGTTGAACAGGGCTTGGGTCTGCCTCTCTTGACTTTTGGAGCCTTCACAGCTCCGTTGCTCATTTAAGAAGGTCCAGAAATGTCAGCTATCTACAGTTGAGTACACTAATTGAGAGGGTCATTGAACTTTGGAGGGCTCTTTTTCCCCCCACCTTGCTTTTGGAAGCAGCTTCTGATGGTGTGAAGCCTCTTAGACTTGTCAGCAAGCTTGTAGAGCTGTTGCTGTGTCAGTAGCAACTCCACAGTGGCAGCAGGGCTGCATGCAGAATGAGTCAGGTGAATGTGAGACACCACTGTGCAGTGATAAGAGCTTGGAGCAGCTCTCATTTCTTTTTACTGAGTGCTGCTCACCCTCTGAGGTGGTAGGRCACAATTCAAAATCTTTATACCATAAAAAAAATCATTCAATAGCTGGAACCTAGTCATAGAGTTAATTAGGTTTTCCGACCACAGGTTAGTGTCCAACAGGTTTTCAGAGGATTGTCTTATCTGTTAGTTAAAACATGTTTCTCTAGTGGCTCACAGAATGAAAAAGTGAACTGAATTTCATGAAATGCAGGTGGTTGTCTGTCCTTCCTCTATGGTGGCATTTTTGATTGGCAAAGTTTTCTGCTGGCTTTTAAGACCACATGATTAGTGAACAAATAATCGAAGTAACCACACTAGTAAGAGGTGTACAGGTCTGATAACGAAGTGATGTGACTGAAATGCTCTTTAAGTATTAAATCATACTGGAACTTGAGAGAAGGTTTTGTATACACTTGAGAAATGGAAGTGGTTTAGGAACAAAAGCTGGAGGATGATGTTGTGGATGGGACACACCCCGATGACTTGGCTTAGGTGCCACAGCACATTATCAATTTTCACATTGCAAAACAATCTGGTAGTTGCTTGTACACAACCTRCATAAATACTTCTTTGAAGCATTCAATATTACAACATCCAGGTTTGCTTGTCTCTTTTTCCTTATCTATTTTTTTTCTTTTCTGAAAGTGTTTTAGCCAGCCAAATTGATGTGTGGAGTTGAAATCCTACTTTTGTTACTAGGAAGAGGAGACGCTTGTCTCTTTAAATCCCCTTTAAAAAAAGAATTAGTACATATGATTCCGTTTAGTTAATAAAGTCTAATGCTTGCCTCCAGGAATTGAAAAATTACATTTATTTGTGTTCTTGATGATACTGAGATCTCCYGGGTGAGCAATTGTGTATCCCGATCTTTGTCCATGTCATTGTTTGCCTGTGTCTTATTGATGCAAGTTAACATTGGCAACAAATGGATTTGATGGTGCTTTTATGAAAACAGGAAGGAACTGAAACTGGCTCATTAACTTTTCTCTGTCTCCTGTTCAAGATAACTGTGATGTCAATGTGTTCTGGAAACTATATATATATRTGTGTATTTATAATACRTGGACATTTCTGGTACTTTAGATGTGGTGGGTAAAATGTGGGTTGGTGTTGTTGGGACRGTATTGCAGAGGTGTTTCATTTTGGGGGACAGATGAGTTTTTATTAAACAGGGTGCACTGAATCAAGCAGGTGTCTCTAAACCTTGGCTCTTGGGCATATCCATTTCTTCTTTTGACCCTGACCACAAGTGTTTGCTCTGAGTTTTTAATTTCTCGTGTCTTTGGGAAATGTTGCCTTCAGTTTGTACCCCCTGAGTTACAGATTTGGGGCTGCTGTAATAAYCATTGATTCTTCAGCTGCCTGAAGTCTGTTTGACTTAAAAAGACCAGATGAGGTTTTTAGAGCAGCTCAGGTCTCCTGAGTCAATGTGTAATGGGCACTCTTTCAACTGGGTAATTAGGGGGAAGTGGTGCGAGCTTTTCCCTCACATTAACTGCATAATTAGGTCACACTTTCTGAGGCAAAAGTATGTCAAAGTATGTCACAGTCAGTGCTGTGTATGATCAGCAGATGTTAAAAGAGGGTTTAAGGATCCGAGAGCCAAGCTGATATAACAGTTAACATTTTAAATTTGTGGAAATGTTGACTGATTGTCACAAATGAGTATGATCCTGTTAGTTCTGCTTATTAATGTTTTCTGTTTCTCTGTGAAAGAAAGCTTTTTCCCMCTTCAGGCATGCTGTACCAGTGAGCTTGGCTAGAAAACCATTTGGGTTTTGAGATTGATTTGATATCGGTGATGTCTGTGCTAAAAAGCAGGAGTTTTCGCCGGGGCTTCTGTGCTGTACATCAAGAGGAATATTGGTTTATTTTCCTATGAGACTGAAAAACTTCATTTACTGTTTTTTTACTGTTTCTGTATGGATTTATGTTTGTATTGGGACCTAGGGGTGAAATGCCATTCAGATTTAATATTTTATATGCAGCTGTCTCTTTTGCCAAGTTTTACTGATTTGCTTAGGGTGTGGTAATTATTTTGTGGCGTTTTTTACTACTTTTTAATAAATACTTCAGTGGCTGTTCAGTACTGTGTGGATTCGTTTTGCAAAATGTACATATTTGAGAAACTGAATATTCCAAGGGAATGTTGAAATAGAATTAGAAACCCTTTTCCTACTATTTGCTTAGATCCAAAGGCAGAAACACGACTCTATATTATGGTGAATGATTTTGAATTTCACGTGTACAACCGCTCTGAGCTTTATGGTCAACTTCAAGAACTGTTTGGCTTGGATCCCACAATCATTCCAGCAAAGAAAGATGATGAGAGAGCCCAWGTAAATGGGAGGCAGAGAACACACGCCAATCTTGAAAGGTAAATAATTATTCATTTTGCAGTTTTGTCAATGCTTTGTTCTGCAAAGTGCCRAACTAATTGGGAAATGTTTTGTTAACGTTGCTCTGGAGGCCAAACGAGGAAAGCACAGTCGAGAGAAATTGCACTGACAAGCCTGACAGTCTGAATCTTTTTCCTTTCCTCAGACTTCCTACCAGTAATAATTAAAAACCACAGCCAAACAAACCAGGCACTCTTGTTTAATGATCAGAGACAGGCTGAAAAATCTATTTGAAATACAGTGTGGAGAGGAAGCATGTGTTGAAGAGGATTATGCTGGCAGAATRATAATGGTTTTGCTCAGTGGAAATAGCAGCTGCCTCAGACATTGAGTAGGCAAAATGTGGGGATCTGTATGGTCTTGTGTACAGCTACACAAACTGCCTTGTGTAAATTCCTCTTTTTGGGGTACCCCATAAAACATGRTGTGGGCTATGTGAGGAGATCCACATGGCTTCTGTGCAGTTCAGCCAGATGTTCAATAATCAGCCTCTGTTTGGGCAGAACCACACCAGACTGATTTACTGTTGGAGCAGAAAAGATCTAATGAGCCTTGAGTCCTTGCACTGCTGCTGGCCAGTTACTGAATTACAGAGTGGGCAGCTGCAGGATGCTGTGGCAGTCCTGAGTTTGAGTGAGGGCTGTGCCTTCCAGCCAGTTTCTTTATGTTTTTCTCTCAAACCATTATTGACAGGCACAGGAAGGATTTCTGCCTTTGAGGAGGATGTGTCTTGGGAAATGAAAAATCCCATGCCTCAACAGGAGTATTTAGAACAGGCCAAGATCCCCTGAGGAAGATTTATTTAACTATTGCTCTGAGTTAAACAAGGCATGCTTGTTTCCTACCTGTGTCAGCACCAAGGTGTAGCTCTGTGTGCTTCCTGCTCTTCTCCCAGGCTTGGGAAGACTGACAGATCATCTGCTAGCAGGTCCCTTACATGAGGCACCCCTCTGGGAAAGATCCCAATATCTGTGCCCTGAAGATCCCTAGAAGAAAAGTTTGATTGGTTCTTTTACAGAAAACATAAAATAATTACAAACCTCCCCTTTTTTTTTTTTTTTTTTTTTTTTTTTATAATAAATTTTTTGTTTTTTTTTTTTTTTTTTTTTTTTTTTTTTTTTTAGTGTTAAAGTCAAAACAGAATCTCAAGACCCTTCCTCTTCATGGAGATCACTTATTCCAGTCATTAAAGTCAATGTGAGCACGGTGAGTGAAATTGTCCAGCTAATGAAAATATTTATGAGTATATGCTTAAAAATTACATTTGCCATTCATTTTTCTTATACATTTTATTTATTGGTTTTGTTCACCTTCTTGCTTTAARAAAAGTTAAAATTACACCATCATCACACACCTGACATAGTCATAAAATCTGCTGGTGCTGGTGGAAGCACAGTTATGTTCTAATTCTAACTTTTGGAAAATACTTTTGTCTTAGATGTGTAATGATTTCAAGAATATCACCAAGGAATTTAATTATGGTTKTTGTACAGTTAGGGTGTGTTGGGTTTTTGGAAGATGTATGGAGTTGTTTTCTTATTTTTCATTTTTCTGCATGTTTTAATAGGGATATTTGGACACATTCTTTAAAAGTTGGTGTTRTTTCCTCCTGCAAAAAACCCCAAACAATGAAAACACCACAGGAAAATGGTTTTTAAGGTGATATGAGAAAAATTGAGAGTTTTATATAAAAGGCAGTACTTTTTGATATGTGCAGGTTATGACCAGAACTTCAGTCCAGACTCTTTATTTGCATGTGGCTGGTTCAACTRCATTTTTATAGGTAAATACTTAAATATAAGAGATGAGTGATTACCAGTGAGTAATTTTGGTTTGCTTTTTGATTTAGGGTCGCTTGGCTTTTGGGAATCATTATCAACCACAAACACTTTGCATTAACTTCGATGATGCCTTTTTGACWTACACCACAAAACCACCTTCAAGCCACCTTGATCAGTTCATGCACATCGTGAAGGGAAAATTGGAAAATGTTCGAGTCATGCTGGTTCCAAGTCCAAGATATGTTGGTCTTCAAAATGATGAGTAAGTTTGGGTCGTTTTTGTATCCATATTATTTTATTACTTATTTTAAGAACGCAAAGAAGAGAATGTTGGTTATATTTTACTCAGTGTATTTAGGAAGTTGATGTTTCTGCCACTGTGAAGGTTTTTAATTTTGGGTRTTTGAAACAATTACTTTATGGAGGAAAGTACTGTTTCTCTGTCTGATTCTAGGTTTTTGTATTTGCATATGTTCTGCTCTATGATTAAATATGGAGTAGTTTAGGATGGAAAGGTTCTTTGAAGGCCATCTAGTTCAAACCCTCTGCAATAAGCAGTGAGATCTTTAACTAGGTTGCTTCAATCAGATTGCTGGTTGGCCCTCCAGCCTGGCCTTGATGTTTCCAGGGATGGAGCATCCTTTGTTCAAGGTCTGTTTTCCTTCTCTCAGGTACTAGAGTTTTGCCAGCACTAAATTTATAGGTTAAATGCAAGGTTTAAGGTGTTGGCTTCTGTAAAGCTGATTCRTGGTTTGGAAAGTTTAAAAAAAAAAGAATCCAAAACCAAAAAAGGGCAAAAGCTGTGTAAAACTTGGTGTAGTGGAAATACTTGGCGTAGTGGGAATCATGTTATCTTATGAAGGCAGATTGCTGATCCTTTCACCTCTGTGTATTCTGCATAAGTGGGGTTATGCAGCTTGAACAAACTGAGGTAAGTCAAACACAAGCCTGAGTGCTTGCATGAAGTAATAAAATAAACTGTACATCATTTGTRTCTTAATTGGCTTTTTATCAGCCAAATCCTGCTGTCTATAATACACCTTTATGTGTTTTTCAAAGAACAGTCTGTGGCTGCATACAGAATCTTACTCTTCCAACATGACGACAAAGGAAATTTCTGCAACTAATATTGAAAACAAACAAGATTAAAGCAAAATAGGATTAAGATACTCAAACTATTAGCTTTWCCTCCTGCTTCCTCTATGTATTTTCTTTTTATGCTCTTACCATCCCTGCAGCTCCTGAAGGCTGAAGGATGGCATCTGTGCACAAAATGTGCTTTAATTTACTGGGTAAATGTAAAAAAATTGACCAGTTCACTGGAAACGGAGAAGGCTTGACTCTTTAGAGCCTGCCCTCTTATGCTGCTTTGGTTTAAAATTTAAGATGGRTATTCTAACTTTCAGAAATTCCTGYAGGCAGTGAATATWTAAAGAACAGCCAAGTGTCTTGATGAAATTTGTRACTGACTGATCAATACATCAAAATTTCACCTTGAAAACTGTCACTTTGTATTATGAGCACCCATTTCAACACCTTCATCACGCTTTGCAAATAAGTCCTCTGAAATCCAAGGAAAGTAAAAAAAGTGTGTTAGGAAAAGCAGGTCAAAGCAGAACAAGTTTGAAGGCAGCAGGCTCAAGGTTCAGGATAGATATTGGGGAATATTTTAAAATGTTGATGATAATCTCATTATCATTCATTGCCATTATCTGGTCTGTATTAAAATATTTGATCTTTCCCTGCTGTTGATACTCTCAAAGTAACCTTAGTTTCAAGGTTTCTACTCTGTTACTTTTGGAGAGTTTCTGGCTGTGCATGGTCTCTGCATCTGCTGTCTTCTTTGTTTCCCAAGATTTCTACCTTTGAAATGAGCTGTGGCAAAATGGGCAATGTGCTTCTAACAGGTCACACTCTTAGACTGTGTCTGTCGTAGAAATTGTCKGCTTTTTTTGTTAAAACTTTTGACAGTGGCTGAAAAGCTGCAGAAGTGTCTTTTGTAGTAAAACCAGAATTTTCATAATGTAATATTACCACTTTAGAATATATTAATATGTAAATTAACATGAGAAAGGGATTGTAATACACCAGTATAATAGTGTCAGGAGAAGCATTTCATCTGTTAGTTTTATCACTTAGATCCTTTTATATTCAGGGAAGTGTTATTAAGGCATAACAGCTTTTTTTTTCCTCTTTTTTATTAACTAATGGTCTAATTACTGAAAGTCTTTTCCCTTTGGTGTAGAAGGCTATTTTAGGAAGAAAACAATTAGCAGGTGAAAGAACAATATAGGACAAGGAGAAAGGAACTCTTGACTGGAAGAAACCCTGAAAGTAAAACTTCAGTAGTTACTTGTGGTTTAAAATATCTGAGAAATACCTTTGTGGAGAGGAACCTGGTATCTTCATGCTTGARTTAACTAAACTTTTAAGTTACTTGATATAATAATTGTAATAATAATAGTAACATTATGATCAAGAGGTTTGGGTTTTTTCTCAAATCATTATGCAAATCCATTTTGCTTAAAATGTTGCATTTAAAATGACTAGAATTCATAAAGATTCATCTTAGCACGTACATTTTAACTCTTTATCTTTGCACTCTTTCATTACAGACCACCAAGGCTGATGGGTGAAGGTTTTGTTGTAATGCAGTCCAATGATGTTGATATTTATTACTACATGGATGAACCAGGTACATTCTGTTAAATACCAAGTTTTGGAGTTTTTTTTAATGATGAAAAATCTCTATGCTGAAMGAGTTGGTGTAAAATTTTGGAGCCAATAGAAGTATGATAAATGTGTTTTTTTTCTGACTGCTGTTAAAGCATTGCCTGAATCTGGAGCAAAGACAACACATTTGGTAATGGTGTGTACAGGTGTAAGATCGGTGGCAATTTTTGATCATTTGTGGTCATATTTCTTGGCCTTTTGCTGGGAGTCTKCATTGAATTGTGTCTTGATATTTAGAAACTGTAGCTGTGTCAAAACTGACATCAGGCTATTTTAATTGTCTTGTGCTTAAGCAAACATTTTCCATGCTCATTTGAAGCAGCTTCCTTTAATAACATGTTTATTATTTTATGTCTTACAGGTCTTGTACCRGAGGAGACAGAGGAAAGTAATGATGGAGAAGCCAGCAATGAAGACAGCAAATTACAGGATCTGCCACCATGCTGGGGTTTGGACATTGTGTGTGGAAAAGGGACAGACTTCAACTATGGGCCTTGGGCTGATAGGCAGAGGTATGACCATGATTTACAGCTTTAATATCTGGCWTTACTGAGAGCTGTCTAAGGTTTCCATCATGTGATTGCTCAGACTTCGGATTTCCATGCCTTAGGGCAGACAAAAGTCTGAAGGAAGAGTCCTGCCATAGTGGTTTAAGATTAGTAAATTCATTGGTGTTTCTCTTGCTGACCTTCCAAAGTTAGGGTCACTCCACAAATTTTCATTAGTTGAGGAATAGATTGCTGATTTTTTTTGTAAGCTAAGGATTTTTACTGTTACCAAGTGTTACATACCTAAAGGTTTAACTTGTTAGTTGGTGATCTTTARATTTCTCGAGCTGCTGTTAGCTAATATGGGAACAAACTGCATGTTGATGAGGACATTTTAGGGTAGCAGAAATGTGCCTATGAAAATAATGAGGGAGGAATAATTTATCCTTACCTGGCATAATCAACTGCTTGATACTATCTCCAAAGCATTTATTATCTAGTTATTTTAATACAAAATACCAGGCTAGAGTTCTGCTGTTCTTCACTTGGCCCTGAATGTTTTGCACATGAGTATTTCTGGTGAAGACAATAGAATTGTTTAGAGAGTAAAGGACTGTTAAGTAAAAGTGACATAATCAGTGCTTTCTCTCTTCTCCCCTATTAATTAYAGGCTGGTACTTGGCCTTCACTAATTCTCCTGTGAAACTGTTATGATTTACAGTCTCTCAGGAGTGTGAAGATGGCAGCCCAAAGAGTAGTCATTAGATATGATAGTGCATTTAAGAGAAAATGTCACTTTCTAGAATCCTTTGTTAGAAACATGAGGTCAGCGAATCATTAATGATGCTTTTAATACTCCAAAGGAAGTGTGCTCTATAATGGAATGCTTTTTATAATCTTACCTGGCTCTGCAGAAGGCAGTTTAGTGCACATGCAGWGTGTGTAGAGTTTGTAGATACACACTAGGAACACTTTTGCCTCTTGCTATGGATAGAATATGGAATTTTGCAAACTTTTGAGATGCTACAATGATGATGCTGGGTGCAGGWAAGAGTGACTTYCACCCCTTGGGACCTGTGTAAGCTYTGCTGTCTGTGCTTCATCACTGTGCCTTTCCTGTCGTGTATTTCATGGCATATTCAGCTATAAATCTGAATCMTCTAGAAATGTGGTTTCCATTCTGAGGTCCTCAAGTTTTGTATTTTCTTTWTTTTTGGGCATTACATCAATTATTTATGCACAAACTGAAGAATGAATAGATGATTTCCTAYTATGCTTTTGTAGCAGATTTTGTAAATCAAGGATTAGAAATAAGAAGAAAAACATGGGTTGTTTGCTTTGTGAATTAAAATTTATGGCTTTCATCCAAAAGTAGCTTCTTCATTGACACTTTTGGAGATTTCCATAATGAGTTGGAAGGCTCCCATGGTGAAGATTTTCAACAAACATGCTTCCTTATCACATCCACTGGTTGTCTAAAGACTCAGCTAAAAGGAAAATAGTTAAATRAACCAAGCAAGATGCATGAATATATATACTTATATCTTTTATGATAAAAAAAACAACTTTTTTTTCTTCTTCCCCACTAGGGATTGCTTGTGGAAGTTTTTCTTCCCACCAGATTACCAAGTTATGAAAGTCTCAGAAATTGCTCAGCCTGGGAAACCAAGGCAGATCCTTGCTTTTGAGCTGCGGATGAACATCATTGCAGATGCCACCATTGATTTGCTTTTTACCAAGAACAGGGTAAATAATGAAACCTTATCAAGAAATTAACTTGTCTGCTGTAGTTGCACTATGCTTTTTGGTTGTGCTTAGTTTTACTTGTCTCAGGTGCTCATTACAGAACTGTGGTTTTAAAAGCTGGGAGATTTTTGTCTTAGTCTTTTATAGTTATGAGCAAACCTTTCAAAGAGAAATGTATTCTGAGAGGCAGTGTTTTAAGGTTTATTTAAAGCTTTAAAGTACATCTTAAGCCATGCCAGCTTCTACAGTTTTGGGGATTTATGATCTGGACATCTCCTGTGCAATCTTAAATTATGATGAAGCTCACCATGATGAAGAAACAATTTTTTCTAATTTTGAATGAAGAGATAATATTAGGGGAACAAAACTTGTTATGTGCAAAGACTTTTTCTTTTGCTTGTTGCTTTTCTTATAAATGGGATATAACATCACTTCATTTTACACCTGTTTTACAATTTTGGGGGGGACTGAAAGGGTTAGAAATGAAGTGTTAGAAAAGTGTATTGATCTGTCYTCCCAGGCCTTGGATCAGAGTACCTTATGCTGTTTCTCTCTGTGAACCTCAGTCAGCACTTGTGAATCCTAAAAGTGGTGTTATTTGATATCAATGCATATTGATAGTTCATTAGTGATTTCTCTGAAGGCAAGGACTTAAACCATCAGGTGCCTTAGTCCAGGTGTGGGTAGGGACAGCCAGAGGCATAAATAAACCTRGAAATAATGTTTGGACTGTTTTCCTTTCTTGCAATGCAGGAAACAAATGCTGTCCATGTAAATGTTGGTGCAGGATCCTATTTGGAAATCAATATTCCCATGACAGTMGGTGAAAATGGTGAGTTAAGGCTAAGCCTGATTTGTTTCCCCAATGTTTTTCCTGAACAATTATGTTAATTCTTGTGTGTGTGAATATCTTTTAGTGCTTTTCCTCTGTAATCTTGAGATGTATAATCTTGTGTAAAGGAACAAAAATACTTCCTTATACAGTTCACAATTAAGATATTGAGGCATGTATCCATCAGGGTATTTCTTGTTAGTAGACTGCTGAAATCACTGGTGAAAATTATTTAAATATTGGTCTAGTTCCTGTGTCTGAATGATGATTTCATAACTTTTGTTGTCCAGGCTATTCACCCACAATTAAAGGGCAGCTCCTCCATGTGGATGCCACCAGCAGTATGCAGTACAGGACTCTTTTGGAAGCAGAAATGCTGGCTGTAAGTTTGCATTAATAAGAACAAAGCTTCCATTTCTAGGGGATTTTTAATAAATAACTTACTTATTTTTCTGTGGAACAGTCTTTAGTTTCTTAATACAGGAAAATGTCTTTTGCAAGACCTTAATGTATAAGGAATCTACCTATACACACATAATTGTGCATGTGTGTAACCTTTAATGACTTAAAAAGCACTAACTTGGTGTATAAATTATGTATTTACAAATGTTGCCTCATTTGCTATGAAGCCATGTATTCATACAGGCTTTACCTTATTAAATGATTGCACTTTTTTTGCTGCACAGTATGTGTGCACAAGCACTTAAAAATACTTGTGTGCTTTAACTACTTGAGACAGATTTAACCCTGCATTATTCTTCTGTTTGCCTGGTATTTCACTTCTGCAGTGCTGTAATTCTGTATATTACCCTTCTTACTGTTTTCTTTAATGACCTTGTTACAGTGGTGTTTTTAATGTCTGAATTAGAGCAATATCTCAAGGGTTGAAAAATACTCTGTTCTGGGCGATTTTCCTCTGGTGTTTTGTCAAAAGTGATGCTTTTGATGCAAACTTTGGTTTTTAAATAGCTGCAGCAGCAGATGTATCACAAACTCAGGGTATACCTTTCCAGATAAATGAATACACTAACACTTGACCTTCAAACACAGAAGGAGACAGAGAGATTAAATTATTAAGGAACTGGAAGTACCTTCTGTTCATCCCAGCAGGAGAAGAGTTTTAATTATTCAGCAGGGTACATATGTGAAAACTGCTGAGATACAGGGTCAGGCACTGTCATCTTTTCAGGTAATCCTGATGCTTTAATATCTTGTTCACAGTTCCATATTAATGCCAGCTATCCCCGGATATGGAACATGCCACAGACRTGGCAGTGCGAGCTGGAGGTTTATAAAGCAACCTATCATTTCATCTTTGCTCAGAAGAGCTTCTTTACAGGTAACCTCTTTACTAAATCAGTTACATGTCAAATTAAATATTCTTTCTTTGGGATTTCTTTTCAAATTTTGCCAAGTTATGCAAGGTCARGTTCTCTGATTTCATGTATTTAGGGCAACAAATTGTTTCTGAGGACAAAGWTCTTGATGTCTACAAAATGTCTAAGTATGTGATATTCTTATATTTGAGTAGAGATACAAATAATTAAATTTTCTAATATCTATATAAATTTGATTTGCAGTTATATTAAGTGGTCCTAAATTKATTTCTTATTAAAAATCTTATCACAGCTACCAATTTGCTTAATATTTGTCACCCATTATGTTGATTTCTCTGATCCCTCTCTTTGCTTGGCTGATTTTCAACTACTTGGGCTCTGGGTTGTGTCCCTGTGGCTGACAGATGATGAGGAAAAGTAATTTGCTCCTTAGGATTCTGGCTGTGATGATGATGGCAATGCAAGGTGATACAGCACCACCCAACTGTTGCTGCAAGTTCCAGCTGCAGTCATGGACAGAGTACAGCACCATCACTGTGCTGCTGCCTGGGCTAATTAGCCCTGCTGGGAGGAAGGTTTAATTAGTGCAGGCATAGTGCCATGCTAATAAAGTTATCCACTGAGTGAGGCCAGAGCCATTGTCTGTGCAGTGCCAGAGTACCCAGTGTAACCTGCTGCTGTGGTCAGAGCAAACATGAACTTCTCCAGCACTAAAATCTTAAGAAATCACCTGATTGCTACTAACTCACTTTTTATTACTTGGTGTGGCTTTAGATTTGATCCAAGACTGGGCCAGTGACAGTGCACCTGATATTTTTTCATTTGTTCCATACATGTGGAACTTCAAAGTCATGTTCCATCAGTTTGAGATGATTTGGGCAGCAAATCAGCACAACTGGATCGACTGTTCCACCAAACAACAGGAGAATGGTGAGATCACTTTTTTAATTTGGAAGAAGTAGGACATATTACAAAAATTATCCACAAAATGTAGTGTATATATTTATAGATATAGACAGAAAGTACTAGAATTACACCCAAAACCTGGTGTGTGAAGGAAACCTCCAGATGTAAGTTATAGTTATTTTTATTGTTTACCTGCAATTTCCTTGTGCTAAGTACAGCATCTTTCTAGAAGGAACAAACTGTAGGCAGTAAATACTTTCAGAATAATTGATTACAGTAATTTATTATTTGAAGTACACTGTAGTTAAAATGGCAATTTTCTGTGTCATAAGTTGTTTAATATTTTTTTAATTATTTCTACCTGCATGTTTGATATTTCATCGAAGAACAAAATAGGGAGTAATTTTGACAAATTTGTTTGTTTTTCCTTTTCCCTCCCAGTTTATCTAGCAGCTTGTGGAGAAACCCTGAACATTGTTTTTTCTCTGCCTTTCACTGACTTTGTTCCAACCACATGCAATACTAGATTCTCCTTAAGGGTAAGTTCTTATGTCTTCTAAATGTGAGACAGCTTCACTACCTTCTTGAATCAGGAAATTTTGAATTAACTCTTTCCTGAAAGAAAAAATACTGTTTTTCTCGTCCAGTTCACAGAATTTTTCTTTAAGTAATCCAGAGGTAAATGGTTTTGATTTGCTTGTGTGAAGCATTTAATCATGTTTCAATTTATATATACACAAAAATAAAAATATTTCTTAAAAATACATACATGCATATGCCTCACACAAACATACAGATACACACTTAGTATATATATTTATTATATGTACACTTAGACTGTGTCTCTGTGTATATTTTATCACTTGGAATTCTGTTGCTTTTTGTTTAGGAAATGTGGAAATCTTGTGTATGTTCAAAGATAGAATCAAATTCAGTGATAGTTACCCCCAAACCATTTTGGAAAGCCATCTTCCAGATTTTAAGAGGTTTTATAGAATAGAAAATGTTCACAAAGTGTTTTTAACAGATGCAGATAATTCTTTGGAAGACTGTACTTCTTGTCTTCCCTCAAATAGAAACTGTCTACTGCTGCTAAAAATAAAAAACTAGTTGATGGTGATGTTRCTAAATTGGTATAATTTGATAGCAAAAAAGCAATGTTTTACAGGTCTCTTTCTTTCAAAGTTTTTTAKTTGAGCTGTAGGGTAACCTTGGTTCACTTATTTAAATTCTGCAGTACGGTTGGAACAACAGAGCAGGAATCATTACAAACTGTGTTCCTATGTTTTATTGCTCTGGTGTGTTGTTATGTGCAAGTTACTGGACTTGTAAACATTCAGAACTATTGAGCTCTTGGGATTGTATTAAAACTTGGTGGGAAAACAGATTTCTTGTCTAACTTGGCCTGTCAGGTGAAGATGCTGGCACATACAAAAATGAAAATAGCATGAGCATTATGCATAAAGTGAATGCAAATTAACTTTTCCATTGTTAATATTCGATTTTAGGGAGAAGATGTTGATCTTCATTTGTATCTACCAGATTGTCATCCTAGTAAATATTCCCTTTTTATGCTGGTAAAAGATTGTCAGCCCAATAAAATAAGTCCTGAGTCCTGTATTTCTGCAGAATGCCAAAGCAGTCAGAAAACGGGCAAACCCAAGTGGAGGAACATTACTCAAGAAGAGTGAGTTTTATTGAGATATATATTTATGACTTTATATTGGCTCTTTATTTACTTTGTGATTCATGAACTTCTCAGTCTGCCTTAGAGATAGTTAATGGAAGTATTGTATCTGAAATAAAARTGTGATGTTTCCTTTTGAAAGGGCTGGATGGGTTGAATGCTGGACAGTCCCGAGTGTTGTGTTTACAATTGACTACTCCTGGCAYCCAATTTATCCTCAGAAGGCAGATGAGCAGTTAAAACAATCCTGTAAGTGTCACTACCTTTGTCTTGTTAGCATGGTTSATTTGGGAAGCTGCTGGGACTTTGAATGACACTGCTTCAATCTGCAGAGATGAACTTGGAACTGAACTGCTGGTTTGTGTCTCAAGGGAATGTGCTGATCATTAGAATGCACTGGCTTTGATTGAAAACCTGACAGAATTCYATGCTGCTACATTTCAGTGTGTCCCAGTTCCTCGTGTAAAAAAGGATACTGTCTGCAGTTGACTTCTCCTTGTCCTTAACAAAGTGGATCTCTTAAATAGGTTGTTGAACAAGATAAAATATCACTTGGTATATTAAACATCACTGCATTAAACAAGAAGTACAATATTTTTGGCCATATCATGTTCTTTAGCTTTTCTAAGATTCTTTTTTCTCAATTCTTTTTTTCCCTTTGGATGTTGTGGTGTCATCTTTAGATTTAAATGTTTGAATACATTGTATATGAAATGTAATAATATTGTCTTCCCTTTATGGATATCAAAYTCAGATTTCACTATTCAAGTGAGCCATGGCCATCAGAAATTAGTATTAGAGTGGTCAATCTAACACTAATACCTAAGAATGTTTTTAAACTGCTTAAATATTTCTAAATAACAAATATCCTATGAGTAGGTGCTTGCAAAAATAAACATAGAGATAAATATAAAAGTAAGTTAACTTAAATGCAGAGGGAGTGATGCAGGAAGTTACGGGGTTACATRAAACTCTTTTGGGTTGAGATGCTAGAAGCAGAACTGATGGAGGAAGGGTGTTAGAAGAATAATGAGGGCTAATTAGAAAGGGCCACAATCAGCAGGTGTTAGAAGACATGCTGGATAGCATTTTTATGGTTTGAGTTCCAGCAATTCACATCTAAAAGTACTCAGATTTTAGAGGATGAAGCAGAAAAGGTAAGATTGATTTTGCAGATGTTCATGGAGTGCTCTTGTGAGACTGTCAGCTGGTGTCAAATGTGCATTCTTCCCATCCTGAGAACATTTACTTGTAATTGTAGCAATTGAAACTTGCATTTGGAAGTTTGTACATACAAAGGTAATTCATCTGCAGCTTCCTTCAGTGAATAATTCAGTGCAGTCCACTTCTCTTGTACTCCGTGGTGCTGATGGAATGTGTTTGTTGCAGTAGCAACATCAGTATTTTATTTTGAGTCAGTCCATAAAACTCTGAGAAATATGTTGCAGTACAAAAAATGTAGTTTCAATAAAAGTGGTCACCTCACTGCAGCATTTGGCTGATTTATAACTCATAACATAATGCAAGTACTGAGCAAGAACTGCAGACAATAATGGCGAGTTCAAGCCTTGGAGGTTTCTGGCTGCAGGTGTCTGGTTCTGTAAGTGCCAGTTCATCCTGTTCAACTGCCACCTGTAATCTCCCTCCARCTGGAGCATCAATTTTTGATGGTTTTCCCACAGAGGTCTCTACTGCCCAGCAATCACTTCACATCCCCTAAACACTTCCAGTTACTCACTTCATTCTTGTGCCTTTCCTCATTTAAAAAACACAATTTTTGGGCTTTGTTGGTCCTAACTCCAACTAGAAAGAAGGGGTAAGAAATAAGGTTTGAGTTTTGTTACTGGAGTGATCGAGTTGCTGCAGATGAAATTTTGGCCTACATATCTACTAGTTCAGAGTAGATTTTTAGTACAACTTTTGCACTTTGCATGTTTCTTCTCTTTTGTTTATTCTAGAGTAGCTGTGTGGTTGTGGGAAATCTGCTCTGCTGCAATGGAAGCATGTCTCTGTTTAACTTCAAAAGCAAGATAAATACACGGAATACTTTTTTTCAGAACTTGAGGGATTGTTTTTCTCTTGCATAATTAACATTGACTAAAATATTCTCTATTTTCTTGTCTTCCCATRGTTACTGGAGATGAGAAACCAGTTCTGTAGCACAGGCATGTTAATGTAATTATATTGTCCAAGTTAGATAGCTGCCATTAGTTGTATATTTATTACATATTCCTGTTTTACTGGATTTTGTCCACCACAAACCTAACTTGTAATCAAAATCTGTTCTCTACTTATTTTGCTCCCAAGTGTCAGAAATGGAAGAAACAATGTTATCTGTGCTAAGGCCATCGCAGAAAACAACCGACAGTGTGATTTCATCTCCCACAGCTTCCACCCGCCTTCCCCTCGACCCCTCGGAGCTGCCCCCGGATAAGCTCCACGTGGAGCTGGAACTCTCCCCAGATTCCCAGATAACCCTCTATGGACCCTTGCTCAAAGCCTTTCTCTCCATAAAGGTAGGCAGAGGAATGTGACACRTAAAATTTATGGGTGGCCTCTTGTAGGAAAGGGAAATAAACAGTTTTGACATGGAAAATTGGAATTCTGCAGAATATTTGGACATATTTTGGATACCTTTCTTTGTAGGCACTAGCTYTAGTTTAGAAGGACTTTGGTGATAGCTGGGATGAATTAAATTGTTACAGTTTTGTGAAAAGACTTCTTACATGTGTATAGATATATATCTATATTTATCTCCATTTATATCCATATAAACATAACRTCATTTTCGAGAAATACTCTATGTTCTGGACATGTGCAGAAAATTTGTCCTTTGAGTTTTGCAGTAGTAAAATAAAAAATATTCTATGGTTATGAGTAGAGCTTATCTAAACTCCARTTTTTATGCCAAGTTATATCAGAACTCATGCTTTCAGTGTATTTTAAGTTCTGCAGAATGTTGTTTTTCTTAATTAGAGTCCATGACATTTCTGGAGTTAGGATAATGGAGGGGTGTGGGGAAGAACCTAATTTGAAAAACTTCTTCAATAAATGTTGTAAAAGAACTACACATCCTTTTCTTGACATTAATCTCTTATGATTTAGAATGTGTGTTTGTGTTGTTTTTGCTATGTCCTCTATCACTRTTTTTTGGAGCATCTAACTTTAATTTCTTCCCGTCTCCCTCACCCTCCCTCGTGGTGACAAAAGCAAAGGCAGTTGACCATGTCACTTATGTTTGACTAACAGCAAAATGCTTAGGGTTTGGTTGATTTTTGTGGTTGTCTGTATTTTGTGTGTGTCATTTTGTGGTTTTTCTGGGTGGGTTGTTGCTTGTTTTTCTCTGAACATCTATTTCAACTTGTGCAGATCTAGGCTAAGGTAATGCTTCTGGAGGCTGGCATTTTGGAGCAGAGGTTGAAGARTTTTCTGAGACAGGTGATCATTATCAGGACTCACTGAAACAATAATTTTCATAAATTTATATAAGTTACAGCATGTAGCAACARACAGCAGAAAATACTATTTTGTAGTGTATAGACTTTCAAATACACTCATTATTTTTTCATGTTGTCAATAAAATAAATAGGACTTGAATTAGGCCAGTACTGCATCTTGAAGACTTGATTTCTCCTGGTACAGAGGAAACAAACCCATGTTTTAATTGTTTATTGAGCCCTTCTTTTGAAGCCCATAAATTCATGAGGGAGTTCTGGCTTTTCAAGCAAAGCAGAACTTCTTTAGTGCTSTTTGCCTCTGGAGGTAAATGTAAACAGTGCTACATTAGATCCTTGATTCTATAATGATTTCATTTTCTAGGTGCAGATTTCTCAGATGAAATTTAGCTTTTCTATTCTAATTCTCAAGAGAAATTTTAGATTAAAAGCTTGTTTATGAAAATGAGTTTTTATTACTCTTTTTRGCATTTTTGTGGCTCTGTTTAGAACTTCTTGTCCAGCTGGGCTGGGAGCATCTCTTGCAAGATTTCTTGGAGGATTTCTTATGTTTGTTTTCCTGACTTGTGGTTGAAATGTTGTTTTCMGTTTGTTTCCATTGATCTTTTTTTAATACATGGGTTATGGATCCCTGGACACACATTGTCCATGCAGCTTTGTTAAGTCTTCTAATCTTGAGAGTTTTTTTGGTGTAGCACACCCTGCTAAGGCTTTGCTGGCTGGAAATGAATGATTTATAGGTCCTGGCATTCGCAGCACGAGTTGCCAGCAGTGAGCTACTGGAGCTCCTGCCACCCTCTGCTGGGTCTGCCTTATTAAACCTTATCATAAGAAAATTCTTCTTGAGAGTTGAGCTTTTCTTTTAAGGGAGATGTGCCAAATTGCCAGAAATCTGATGGATTTTCTGTTTCCCAGTAGAATTTGGCAGAGTTRCTTTGGCTTTAGGTAATTGAAGAGGATTTGCTTAGAAACAAGGCAGCTTTTAGACCTGAGCAAGAAATCTTTATGAGCTMATATTTTAGAAGCGTGTGTAAGATTTGTAAGCTTGTGAAAAAAGGTTCAGAAAGTTGGATGAGGGTCACTTCCTGCAGGATGTGTTTTGTGTTCTTGTTCTGTTACCTATCACTAAAAGCACAAAATGTGTTTTAAAACGTCAGTAATGACATTTCAGTTACTTGCTTTGTGTGCATCTCAAATAWCAGTACTGTGAGAATTACTGAGCTGCCTTCATTTTCTGCAAAGTACATGGCCTAAATTTGCACATTTAAGCTATCCAGTTTTCATAAAATAAAATTGTGTATGTTCCTTTAGCTATGGATTGTGTTCACACCTCTTGTTTTAGGGAGGACTAACATACAGAAGATTGGATTTGTATTTCAGTTCATTGCCTACATGTTTTTCATTTGTTTTTCTTATGATCATAACAATTCTTTTTCCTAGGAAAATTATTTTGGGGAAGATGATATGTACACTGATTTTGAAGAGGTTATTTCGAGCCCTGTTTTGTCCCTGTCAACATCCTCAAGCTCTGGCTGGACAGCTGTTGGAGTGGAAAATGACAGAAGAGAAAATGAAGGTTCAATCAGGCCTGTTCACCCTCTTACTTTACGCCCGTGGGATATCACTGTGCTTGTTAATTTGTACAAAGTGCATGGGAGATTGCCAGTGGTAAGTACTTTATAATAATAAAAGACTTTTGCTTCTTTTAATTTTTTATATTTTTTGTTTCATATTTTGGACCCACATTTAACTGTCTGGAACATTTAGTTGGTGTGGTGCTTACCAAAATRTGTATATACTCTCTGCTGAAACTGTGGCTATCTAATCAACTTTGAGACATGATTTATTTTGTTTATCTGGGAGGTAGAAGTCGATCATTTTTAATATGTTTGTTATTTGCAGAACTTGATTGATGAGATATTTTCGATTGACCRTTGCTAATTAGCAAAATTGTCTTCTAGTGGTTCAATCTGCTCTGTGCAGCTGCATTCTGAGGGTGCCCCAGGAATAAAGGTCCCAGGATAAAAAATTTGGTTCACCCAAATAGGTTTGAATTGCTTTTWATGTAATTGTTAAAAGGTTTTTCAAGTTGCAAAGGCTTCTGTTTGAGTATCCACTTAGAGGAAAATTGGCATTAATTCCTGCTCACAGGTTTGCAACCAATAGTAAACGCTCAACCATATTATGTATTCTCAGGTTTTCAAACAGATGTGTTTTTCATTTCAGCATTGYAGTCCAGATGGTCCAGAGTGCCCTACAGCTTTCTTGGAGAGATTGTGTTTCGAGATGAAGAAAGGATTTAGAGAAACAATGCTTCAGCTTGTACTGTCTCCAGTGAATTTGTTTCTGAATGACAATTATCAGGTAGTTAGTGTTKGTGTGTCTAAGTTGTCCTGATCTTAAAACTGAATTCTTTTTTGGTAGGAATTTTCCTGTAGTGCAAAGTTTATTGAAACTTGTGAGGCATTAAAGAAAAGAGGTATTAAAGAAAAATCTCATGCTTATTTTGTAAAAATCTTTATTTTTGTTCAGAATTTTTTCATTTTGTCAATAAAACAAATAGGATTAAAATTAAACCAGTACTGCATCTTTCCCAAGAATTGCCTTCCTCTTCCTTGTCCTTGCCAGCGCCCTGCAGTGGATGAAGTGCTCCGGGAGGGTCACATCAGCCTGTCGGGCCTGCAGCTCCGTGCTCAYGCCATGTTTTCTGCAGAAGGGCTGCCCCTGGGCAGTGATACTTTGGAATATGCCTGGCTGATTGATGTGCAGGCTGGAAGCCTCACAGCCAAAGTYACAGCACCACAGGTACCATCTAAAAACCATTCTGAACTGTTGAAGTATGACTCTTCTTCCTTCTAAAACTGGTGTAGCATGGATTTTTGGAAACCACATTATCTCAGCTGAGTTTGGATGCATCTGTGCCTTAAGTAACCTTCATYTTATAGTTTGAAAATCTAATAATTTCTGGAAATGGACAGGAGATGCCAAATGAGCTGTTGTCACAGTCATACTTTAAAGCAGGAGGCAAATGAGATCATTTGTGGGAGTGTAGTATGGACAGRCCTCAGGAGTAGCTGCTYACTGCATAAATTCTGCTGCTTGGTCTCATTGRAACAGAGTTTGATTTCCCAGTACTGAATTTTGTTAGGTCAGTTTTAGCACTAACCCCTTTTAATTTTGCCATTTATGTTACATTTCTTTTTCCAGCYAGGTGAATGGCTCCAAGTATACAACAGGCAGATAATTTTGATTGATTTCTGCTGTGGTGTGCCAGATCTTTCAAGAAGATTGCTTTGCCACTGTATTCTGAGACATGAGAAAAGTACATACATTCTATTTAGTGGWTGCTACTTGCTTTATTTATTTATTTTTAGCACACTTCTACATCTTCTTATTCCTCTAAAAATTGGCWTTTTTTTCTAGGATTAAACACATATTTCATTAAGAGGTTTCTGCAGCAAATAAAATCAGAGTAAGGCATACAAGCAAGTTTAGTAAATCCAAAGAAAAGACTCCAGATATGTTTTCTTGCTACATATACAGGCATTTGTGGTACTGCTAAAAATGCTGCTGCTGATTTAGATGATCTGTAGTATTTGCTCCACTGCTCTATGGTTCAAAATTAAACTCACTTGATCCAAAATACTCTGAAGAATATTTATAAATGCTTAMTGCAATGCAAGGATTTTCTTCCCTTACAAAGCTACTCTTAGTTGTATGCATCATATAGGATTGGGTTTTTTTTTTTTTCAAGTTGTCAGCACTGCTTTGGAGCAGAGCTTGAATTTGCTTGTTKCAGGTTYATTGGCTCTTTTCCTTCCATAGTGTGATGTATTGCAGGAATTTGTGAAGGGACTACACTGAACAGAGGAGGAGAGATTTTGTGCAGGACAGTCATAGCAATATTAAATTCCATTTAAATTACTGCTGATTTTAAGTGCCCTTTCCTTTGGCAAGCCAAAGAAAACCCATTTCCCTCTCATAATAGAGACAGACAGTCATGAATCATTTCCTTTATGAGCGAGCTAACTATGTAAGAGACTTAAATCAACAATAGGCTAATTACTAGGTCTAGCAAGAATCAGCAGTGTTTTGTTGAGCCAGTTTCCTCCTGTGCTTTCTAAATGTAACTTTGTTGTTTTTATACAGGCAAATTTGGCATTTAAATGATGAATGAAAATGAAGTGCCTTGAGATATTCTTTGTGATAAAGTGTGGGTAGCTGTGTCTTTATAATGAAGTCTTCAGCTGACAGTAGTAGCAAAAGCTGCTGCCTTTTATTAAGAAATAACTTAGATTGTTTAATGTTTGCTTACAGCTCGCCTGTCTTCTGGAATGGGGGCAGACCTTCGTGTTCCACGTGGTGTGCCGGGAGTTTGAGCTGGAGAGGCCCAAATCCGTAATCCTCTGCCAGCACGGGATTGATCGCCGCTTTTGTGACCCAAAGGTACCTTTTCATCCATCTTTACTGCTCACTGTGCATGCACAGGTTCTCTGGATCGTTTCAGAAATGCAGCCTTAGTGTTACCAATCCACATGGTGTATCTGGTAGGTTGACTGTTAACCAGAACATGAATAAAAGGATCAGCATAAATTAAGCTCCTAGTAGACATTTATATATTTTCTTTTCCTTGATTCTTTCTTTTTCCCTTTTCCTTCAGATGAACTCTGTGCCTGGGCCATGCCCAACATCTGATGACTTAAAATACACAATGACACGCTTAGCCATGGATGGAGCAGATCTGTATGTGGTAGARCATGGCTGTGCCACCAATATCAAGGTAAAAATATTTCTCTAAACAGCAATTAAAATACTTCTTTATCAATGGAATTCTATACATTGTTTGATAGAAAAGGAGYCTGAATTATTGGGTTGTTTCCATGCAGTGGATTAAGCAGAATTTCTAAAACTTTAWGTGATAAAAGGTTATCATGGACCAGGCCAGGACTAGGTCAATTTGGCTTTTACTCATTAATTATGTTGGAAAATGGTAAGGATGGATATATGTCCCCCAAAATAGAAGTGGAAGCTGCAGGACTAGTGTGAAATAATTTAGAACACACTGGGCAATATCTCAGTATTTGCACCTGAGAGCTGCTAAGATCTTGTGCTGTGAATGAGTAATTCAGCAAATGGAAATGATTGATACGGATCACATGCCAGTCAGTGCTGGATCACTCATGATCCTCTTGTGTGAATTTAGGTGTCTTTGGTAGAGAATGGAGAACTGTTTGTGCCACTACCGGGCTGAATCCTCTGTTCTAAAAGGGCTGTGCAGAGGGGACYTGATATTCTCTCCATTATCTCACTGCACAGGAAAAAAAGTGGAATAATTTACTCAGGTAGCAAAATGCARGTTTAGAGACAGCTGAATTATGGTAACAACAGAAAAGAAAAAAAAAATATCATCCTAATATAACTGAGTAGTACCTGTGCTTTTACTTAATAAATTCAGTTTTAAATGGTAGACTTAAAATTAAAAGTTTTGGGCACAGCTTTACATTGTGGGCAAGAATCTGACTAAAGGGCAGTGGTAATTATTTTAGATATTTTTTTAATGACGTGATATCTCATCATTTGMATGGCTTGCTGCCCTGTGGCAGTAAAAAAGTACGTTTGAGCCTCCGAATTCTTTTGAATCCAATATTGAAAAGCACCATCATAAATATTAACRGTGTCTGCAGGCATAAATATGAATGACAGTATTTTCAAAGGCAGCTTAATAACTTGAACCACTCTAGAAAATGATATCCTGAATATGTTTCATTCAAATTAAGGAAAAAAAAAAACGGTTTTCAGTGGTCCTTTATAATCTGTGACAGAGATGAGAAGTAATAATTTAATACTAGCCCTGTGGATAACTCTTCCATGGCTGGATTGTCTTTCAGCTTTCCTTTGTTTTGGAAACTTGATCTGAAATTTCAGGTGCTTCCTGGTGACATTTTGGAGAGGATTGAAATTGTGCAGGAGACTTGGTCCCATGTCTTCAGATTATTTGAAGTTTGAAAGTTTCAGATTTCTTGGCTTTTAGATGACAGTGAAGAAATCAATGATTYAGTTTTTTTAAAGTTTCATTATAACATCTGTTGAAAGTTTTCCTTTYTGATCTGCTTACAAAAGGATGCTTCTAAGTAAATATTTTATTTTTGTTCCGTAAAAACTGTTTGAGATTCATTTCTAAGCTTGCCTTCTTTTGTGTGTGTGCTTACCTGCATATGAAACTGGTTCTCCGGAGAGAAGTGTACTGAGATCTTTTTGGGCTGTAGTATGTGATGTGTTAACTAGTTTAAGGCCATTCTTGCTTAGTTTCACTGACAAAAAGTCTGTATTGCTGTTTAAATGCTGTTTTCAGATGGGTGCCATACGCATTGCCAACTGCAACCTCCACAACCAGTCGGTCGGGGAAGGMGTCAGCGCTGCCATCCAGGACCTTCAGCTCAGACAATACGTTGAGCAGGTGAACAACTGCAGAACTGGCCTTCAGCCCATCCTGAGGAGRGCATATTGGCTGGAAGCTGGCTCTGTCAACCTGGGCCTCATCACTGCTGACATTGCTTTGGCTGCAGATCATCCTTCCAAGCACGAAGTGCAGAGGCATTTTTTGGAAACGCACGATAACCGGACCAAGAGGTGAGAGATGTGGTTTGAGACGGATATCTTTTAATCTTGCTTTCACTGAGCTTCAGCACCGTCATGTTTATGTTTTGTTTTCTGCCTTTTATAGGTTGTGGTTTTTGTGGCCTGATGATAATTTGAGAAATAAGAGAAGCAAGAACAAGTGTGGCTGTCTCGGTGGTTGTCGATTCTTCGGTGGCACCTTAACGGGACTGGATTTTTTCAAACTTGAGGAACTGACACCTTCAAGCAGCTCTGCTTTCTCAAGCACAAGTGCAGAATCTGATATGTTTTATGGCCAGTCTTTACTGCAGCCAGGAGAATGGATAATTACCAAGGAGATTCCTAAAATTTTAGATGGTGAGAATGTACTGTACTGTATTTTTATTCTATTTCGCTGAAAAGTATAATTCCTTAACTTTTCAGTATTTGTGGTGTTTATGAGTCTGGTTAATGGCTACAACTGTTTGTGCTCATGTAGCCTGACTCCTAAGAGCAGACATAGCTTAAGCAAGCTTTCATGTGCTGGATTTTTATATTAACATGCAACTCTTTTCTGAATAACAAGGAACTTTTGTCTGTTCTACTAGTACAGAAAGCAGCTGACCAAGACAATCTGATACTTTGCTGCTGTGATTTTATTAACTTTTGTCAACACAACATGCTAGCATGCACATGCATTTCAAAGCTAGGGCTTTTATCAATTAAGGATTCTTATTTCGTAGGCAGAGAAAAACCTGTTGGAGCTGTTATCAGATATTCAATTTTTCTTTTCCATCCCTGATCCTAGGTAAAGCAAATGGTGTCAAAAGAAAAGATTGGGACTGCAGATCTACAGGTATAGAAATGGAAAGGAAAGCACAACACCTGAGCCTCCAAGTGCCCCTGCGCTCCCACAGCTCCTCATCCTCTTCRGAGGAAACGAGCAGCTCTAGTGCTGCGCTGCCCTTGCTTGCAGGGGAGAAGGACAGCCCCTCATCCACTGCTGAGGATCACTTGGGACAGAAGGAGTTCCTGCCCAGTGCWAAAAGGGAAGATGGCCATGGAAGGTTGGTACTTGTCCAGGCAGGCACATAATTCAACTCTTGAACGCTTCCAGATGGAAGAAAACCCTTAGATTTAGCAATTTATAAAGTGTTAATGGTGTTACTAAAATACGTTTCCAAGTTTGGAACCTTGAAAGGGGATGGCTACCTGATTAAGGTAGAAAATCCAGCATGTAAACACACAGAACATGCTGTTTAATGTTTGGTTTTATGTACACAAATGGCAGAATTCAGTTTGTAACCAGCATTATGAWAATTATGGCTATGCTAGCAAAAAATAACGAAATCACTGATGCATTTGACAGCTTCTGCAGTGTAGGAGGAGAAGCATTAGTAATGCAATAAGCAAGTAAACTGTTCATTTTCCTTGCCAGCATCACTGTGGAGGGTGCAGAGGGCCGTCCTGCATCCCCTGGCCCCCAGGAGAGGCCTGTGGGCCAATCTCCCATGAGATCCCCCCTGAAAAGACAATCGTCCGTGTGCTCCACCCGCCTGGGCAGCACCAAGAGCCTGACRGCCGCTTTCTACGGCGACAAGCAGCCGGTGCCCGTGGGAGTGCAGTTCAGCAGCGACGTGTCCCGCAGCGATGAGAACGTCCTGGACTCTCCAAAGCAGAGGAGGAGCTTTGGCTCTTTCCCCTACACTCCATCAGCAGATTCCAACTCGTTCCACCAGTACCGCTCCATGGATTCCAGTATGTCCATGGCYGACAGCGAGGCGTATTTTTCAGCTGCAGAAGAGTTTGAGCCAATAAGCAGTGATGAAGGGCCAGGAACCTATCCAGGGAGGAAGAAGAGAAAAAAGCAAGCTCAGAAAGCTGARTACAGTAGGGGGTCCATTTATCACAGTGTGGAAGGGCCCTTAACAAGCACAATCCATGGAGAAATTAGTCAAGATATGAAAACACTGCCAATTAAGACTCATCCTTCCCAGGCTTCATTTGTTTCAGCTCTGGGAGGAGATGATGAGCACGTTGACAACATGTATGTCCTGGACTCTGAAAAGGCTGTGGAACGTGAGCAGATAACTTCCCAGCAGCCTGTCATGGCRTGTTACCAAAATTACCTCACACAGTTCCAGGTGATCAACTGGTCAGTAAAACATCCAACTAACAAAAGAACTTCAAAATCCTCATTACATCGCCCTTTAGACCTTGACACACCAACTAGTGAAGAAAGTTCATCATCTTTTGAGCAGCTCTCTGTCCCAACTTTTAAGGTATGGAAGATGGTGGAATAGAGAAAGGAGTAAGAATTCAAAATAACTTACAGTGGCTTAGTACCATTTGTGTGAATGAGCTACAAGAAACTTGAAATTTCTTTGCTTTTAGTTAAGGAATACCTTGAATTTCTGACTTCAGGGCTGAATGGTTGGGAAGTTGTGAACAAAAAARGATGGAATTAGACTTTAGTGGATATGTGTTCTGAGTTATCATTGTTTCACTTAAAAATGCTGCCTGCTGAGTGCTATGCAGTGAAGGGCGCTTATGTGAGTTTTGTTTCAAATCTGTTATACAAAGCTGCAGTACTGTATTTAATCGGTATTTAATACTTATAAAGTGTAATTTCGGCTCCATGTGCTTTATTTCAAAATTAAATTACAACTCAGATTTAGGAAATTATATTTTTAAATGACCTGAGCATACATGCTTGAGGAAGGAGCTGAAATGAGATGCATGAAAAACAATGAAAATCGCTTGGTGGAAAATAGGCATTTGAGCTCTGGAATTGAATTTGTTAACATTTTGCAGAAAAGGTTTGTGTTCATGCAAACCTTTTGTAGATTAGTATTTGAAGGTTTTTTTTAAAAATCAGTCAGTGTTTATGTAAAACTGTGTAATTTGATTTTTCAAGGAATTTAGGAAGTTAACCTGGGACTTCCTGTATCCTATATTGAAGAATGTGCTTCTAAGGGATGCTTTTAAGAAAAKAAGCTTTAAGGGAAATATTTAGATTCCTTGTTTGGTTTTTTATTTAATATATGGAAAGAATTTAATACATTTTTTTTCACTTTTATCTTAGATTGTTAAACAGGGTCTCACAGCCAATTCATTACTGGACAGAGGCATGCAGCTTACAGGATCAACATCTAAGTAAGTTGRATACAACCTAACTTTATTAGCATATTTTTCAAGAGTAGGATTTTCCTCACWCTCTCCTTAAATATTTTGGCTCCTGCTAGCTCTTTACAAATTTTATTTATAGCAGTAGTTTTCAGTACCAGGTCTATCTCAGAACAGATTGTTCTGTTATGAAATATTTGGGTTTGGTCTACAAGCAAGTGCACAGTGTAAGAATTAAATTATGTCACTTGTACGTTTTCAAGATTACAAATGGTGGTTTCATGTAGATGAATTTGGAAGGTGCTAATGGCAAGTGTCCATTTCTTTGCCAAAAGCTGAACTTGCCTCTAGGGAGGGCTTTGCCCTGGGATTATGTTTATGTGCTTTCTAAGCTATATGGTAGAAAAAACCTGCCATTATACAGATTTTATTAAGGATTTAAATGATACCAGAACACTTCTGTGTTTTTTTTTTTTTTTACGAAGCCTGATCATTAATGTGTATTTGATTTGTTTAGCACACCTTACACTCCTTTGGATAAGAAATCTGCAGAGAATACAGATGATGAAACCATAACAGAGGAATGGACATTGGATCACCCAGTCTTCCAGACACGGACAACGGCAATAGTGGAAGTAAAAGGAACTGTAGATGTAGTTCTGACTCCTCTTGTAGCAGAGGCACTGGATAGGTAATTTTATTTTGTYRATACTAAAAATTGTCTAAAATCACMGCTGTTTTGTTCAGCAAAAGTTTAAGTAAAGGCCTGAATAACGTGGCTGATGGAACAGCAGGGCCTGGTGCCCAGCGGATGTAATTCTGCATTTCCTATGAGGTATTTGGAAGAATGGGAAGTGCCCTTTGTGTCTGTCAGTGCTTATTTTTTCCTCTGTAGTGTTARTTACCTGTGTTGTTGGTGTGCTGTGTGAAACTGGGAGTTGAAATGGTCTCCTGTGGCTGCTTTCCCCTGGCAGGTACATCGAGGCCATGGTGCACTGTGCCAGCTCCCGGCACCCCGCAGCCATCGTGGATGACCTGCACTGCAAGGTCCTGAGGGATGCTGTGCAGAACAGCAAGACCAGCTTCTCTGAAAATGTAAGAGAGGCAACAAGGAAAATCCCCGTAGATTTGAAAGAATGCTCTTTTGTGTACCTTGCACAGAAAAGGTTTAGGGTTTTGAGTTATAGTAGCTAAATGCTGTGTTAATTTGGAATGCATACTTACATRTGCTTTTATAATCTGCTCTTTCACATGGTCTTTAACTGACCAGAARTCTCTTCCAGGATTGAAGTTTTTCTGTTTTGGATGGTTTACTTCATAACTATAATGATTTAAATTAGATCAAATCACACGTTCAGTTCTTTGAAATTACTATAACTTGTATTTTTAAGTATTTATATTCATCTCATTGAGACATTATTTATTATTTTACAGTAGTTAGGGAGAGCTGTGAAAGTGCCTGTGGGTTTTTTTGCAGTTTATCTGAGACCTTAAAAAATTAATCTAACTTAAAAAAAGAATTGTGTGATAGTCCTACAGAATTAGGAGTTCTTTCTGTTCAAGGTAATGACTGTATTTATATTTTATGATTTCTTAGACTTCACATAATAGTGGACACTACTAATTTGCTTCATGATAAGTTGTTTTATATAGCTGATATGTATGGAATTCAAACTTTCAGCTGGTTGTTAGAAAATGTATAGAATGCCACTGCTGCCATTATGGTTTTAGACCTACTGTGCATCTAAGTGCTGCATYCCTTGTTCTGAAAATCATGGTAAATTGCTTTAAATAAAGTCAGAATCTCTTACTGCTTCAGTGCTCATAAAATATCCTGTTACTACTGAGCTTAGCAGCTCTTGAGTTTCAGTGCTAATTAACTCTTTTTCTCTCCTCTCTAAGTTATCTTCAAAGCAGGACATCAGAGGAACAAAAATAGACACCACCACGACAGGMACAACAAACCAGGGACCAGCACAGACCAATCTCTCGCTTAAGCAAGAYAATGTGACAATTAAAGGCCTTCAGGCCAATGTGACTGTTCCAAAGGTAACAATTGTTTGCTAAGCTTATTAGCAGGCCTCACAAAATGACCCTTATTTTGCAACCTGTTTGTTCCCCAAAAGCTGAAGTGAGGCTTTTTATTTGTGGTAGAGARTTACACTTTGGAGCAGGATAGGCTGTTTTTGAGCTGCTCAGTTTTGTGATGGCAGATGTGCAATAGTTAAATAACAACCACTGCAGGGGTAACTGGCTGCCGTGTCTTTAAATTATATTCTAGGTGTGGTAGTCTTGTTTTTCTTTACTGAAAGTATAAGACAAGATTGTGTCACCAATTAGTGATCTTTACATCATGTAACATGTTTTTCTAAATGTCTTTATTCTTTGATGAAATTTTATRAATAGGTGAACCTGTGTTTACTACAAGCATCTGTGGATGAATCCCCAGGAGTTTCTTCCAGTAAAACYGTGACTCACGTTTCCTTAGTAGCTTTGTGTTTTGATAGAATTGCCACTCAAGTTCGTATGAACAGGTATGAGTAATGTATATCACTATTTGTCATAAACTTTAGACATATTTCATGGGATTATTTTGTTTATCTGGAGATTGGCCTCATTGTTTTTTCTCTCTGATATCACAAAGGGGTATAGTTGAGGAGCCTTCGAACAATGCAGAAACTGGRAGGAATTCTGTCACGTTTGATCGTTACATCCAAACCAGCAAAATGCAGCCCCAGTCTTCTGGCTCACTGAGATCCAATTCTGGAGCAGAAAAAGGCAAAGAAATTGCTGCTAAATTGAACATCCATCGTGTGCATGGACAGCTTAGAGGCCTTGATACAACAGGTATTAAATAATATGAAATTGTGGAAATACCAGTTTTAATAGAAGCAAGTGGTTATAGATGGTTTTGATCTTGTAGTTTGGTTGTGGGGTTTTTATCAACACAGATGAAAAGCCACTTGCACCTGGAGGTTTGGCAGATATTTGAAAAAGAGATTTAGGAGAAATTATTTTCTGTTACTCCACTAAGTGGTAGATTTAAACGTAGGCAAAGTAAAAGCTCTCAAGACAAACTTCTAAGCAGTTTTTGTGGCAGATGCACTGTAAATATTGACCTGCACTGCTGGAATTTGAGGCCTGAGCTCCTTTCCTCCCAGTTGATCTCTTTTCAGCTACAATTTTTTGTCATCTTACATGAATTACATTCTTACAACTTTCTAACACTTTGAATTAATGTGCCTGTTGTATCCTCAATTTCAGCATGATAAGCTGTAGATTTTTAACTCTACTGACTATAACACTGAAAATGAAGTCTGTTCAATTGACTTCCTTCCTGATTGTGTTAAGGAAATAGCTTCAAGAATCTCTGAATTAAATATTGCTATAACTCCTGATCCTGGAAAAACTAACCCAGAAAAGATGACCAAAAGTAGAGGCAATTTTTGTTCAACTGATTTAATTTTAATGGACTCTCTACCAGTTTTCCTACCTGTCCCATAAGGAGCAGGAGTCTTGAGACATGAGGAAGGATTCTGTAAAGCCAATACAATTAAAAAATACACAATAAATAAATAAACAACAACCAAAAAAACCCACGGCTGTGCAAAGATGAGTGAGCAAATGTAATTGAAGGAAAACAAAAGCATTAAGAGAACACTGAAATGGTTACCTCAATTTTTACTTAGTTATGGGTAGAATCTTAGTGGCAGTGTCCTGTATCAAGTGTGCTGCAGACATTCAAGAAGGCCAATTTTGGAGTTTTAACCAAGAAAACTCATCATCTTACACTTAAAAGGTTTGAGAAGAGCCTTTCTAAGGATCTTAGCATTTCATATATACTTCAAAAGCAGATGCAGTTGGAAATTGGAGGCAGAGGGTAAGGATTTGAAGGRATATAARGTGACTCAGTGTAGTTCTTTTCCTCAGATATTTGGCATTTAGTATAAAATTATTTTACATGTTTCTTCAGAATTGTCACAAGAAGAAAGGATTTGTAATTAATTAAGCTACATACTAACATCAAAGAAATGGAGGTGTCATAGTACCCTGCTGGATCTTAGACAGTCAAAATCGTCATAAATTAGGAACTGCTTGAGTCTGGATTTTGTTGGGAATCAGTGAGACTCAGTGCTTTACATCTTCCCAGTACAGACACAGACATGCTTTCAACCATGAATTCAGTTGGAACCATGGCTCTGTAGAAAGATGAAGAAGGCAGATGTGTTTGCATGAGAATGTCTTGAAATTTTTTGTTGCTCAGTCCTTGATTTTTTTTCCAATTTAAAAGTTATCCTGCCCATATTAACATATCAGGAGCAAGGCTTATTTTCCCTATTTCTATGCTTCTTTTCCTTGCTTGTGCTTCAACTTTTAACTTTTTCTTTCTTTTTCCCCCACTCCCTCCACTTGTTTGAGGAATACTAAAGAGATAACTCCCCCAAAACCCACTAAACTTCAGAGTGCTGTYTGGAGATGTAAAGCTTTTTCCATTTTGTAATACAATAATAAATATGTTTATTTTTGCAGATATTGGAACTTGTGCAATAACAGCCATTCCTTTTGGGAAATCAAAAGTTCTTTTTACTTTGGAAGAGTTGGATGAGTTTACTTTTGTGGATGAAACCGATCAACAAGCTGTTCCAGATGTAGCTCGRATTGGTCCTAGTCAAGAGAAGTGGGGTTGGATAATGTTTGAGTGTGGAATTGAAAATTTAACTATAAAAGGTAAAGCTTTTAAAGGCTTTATTATTTTGTTTTATGAGGTTACTGACAATTCTGTTGTTAAGTCTTCTTGTTTAGCAATTATTTGATTAGTAATTGTTGACTCTAGGTGACAGGRAATAGTACATGGCTGTGGGAAATAAATTTCATACTTTATACAATAAAGRCATTTTTAGTTGTAAGTACAACTTACATAGTGTATGAAGTATTTTCATATAAACTGGTTTCMTMAGTTTCTGAACCTRRGGTTAAAATTGATGCTTTYACTGATCACTCAAATCCTCACCTTMACCAAAGTAAGTGTTTTATAGAGSCAGAGTTTTACTCTGGSAGGGGAAAGCTAGCTTCAAAAAGAAAAAAMCCACAGTACATACGTATTTTCTGTCATCCATATTATTTTTTTCAATATTTAAAAACACTCTTCATGTGAGTTCATCTACTTGTAACAAACCATCAGGAGCTTCTATTTGTTGTGCTAAATTGTATAGAATGTATACAATTTGTAGTTGTATAGAATGTTAATGCACCATGTTTAACCAAAACCATGTGTATTTCTCTGCTCAGCTGCAAATCTTTTCTGTGGGACATAATTTACAGTTATTTATGTGCTGAAAGCCTTTACAGTTGGGTATTTTTACAGGGGGAAGACAGTCTGGGGCAGTGTTGTATAACACATTCGGAGTCATGGGTAAATCAAGAGACACAGAGAGAGGTGGATTGCTTGCATCAAACAACTCTTCAGATTCCCCAACTGGCAGTGGTTACAACACTGATGTGTCTGAAGATAACCTCCCTTGTGACAGAATAAGTCCCTCTTCAGATATTAATGGAAATTCAGTTTCAGACGAGCAGGTATGTTCATACTGGGTAGAAATGATTGGTCATGTCTATTTAGACACTAAACTTCCAGCTTTTTGCAGGATCCCTTTGGAGAGTTAGTGGACACCATTAGTTTATTTTCCTTTCCCTAAAACCTATGAAACAATTTTTTATGATCATAATATGTTAGTGCCTTTCAGTGTAATAGTTTTGGAAAACAGTTTCACTTTTGACTTCACGATTTCTTTTTTTCATTTTTAAGGATGAAGGTGTTGAATCTGATGATCTGAAAAAAGATATCCCCTTGATGCCTCCTCCCCCTGACTCCTGCAGCATGAAGCTGACAATCAAAGAAATTTGGTTTAGTTTTGCAGCCCCTACCAATGTGCGATCTCCAGCCCATATATATTCAAGGTATTTTTTTACCTGATTTAAAAGCAAGCAAGTGGCAGTTCTGCTTTGTTAAACTGCATTTGTATTTGGTAGATTCTGAATGGAATTTCAGTAATTTTTGAAGCTTCTCTGGAAAWGACAATTTGGGGGTTTGTGTATATCACCGTAACTCTTGCTTTGGTTTTTTATTGTTGTAATTTATATGTACTGCTAGAAAATGTTTAGGTAGACATGATTAAAAGAAGAAAAGGATGATTTAAAAAAACAAAGAGCCCTCACAACTTCTGGTGAGATGGAAATGTGTGAGGGAGAAAGGCATGGGAGTGGGCTGTGGGATGCTAGTGAAGAGAACAGCCCAATGCTTTTGGTGTTATACCTGCTATCATCCATGATCATAGTGCCACTGCATTATAAAGTTCAAGATGTGTCCTTCTAAGATGGTTTTTTACCTTATGTATATAGAATAAGCCAAATATTTCAGTCTGGCAGTATAAAGCCATAAATTAGAAGATACTCTGCTAATTCTCTTGCTCAGCCCTCTGGCAAAAGTCCTTCATAACATGTAACAGTTCATTGTGGGATGCAGTCAGTGATATGAGAATTTCAAACTGTATGGTTTCAATAGGGAATCAAATGGGAAAAGGAAGGAATAGCAGTAGCAAAAGTGGGAAGRATCAWGAGTGTGTGAGTGAGTAAAACARAAATTGCCTTAGGTACATCTTGCCRRTTTTTGTTTCCTGGGCAGTAARTCTGTGTTTATAACTTTATATCAATTTCCCACATATTTGACTGCTGTTCATAACAGCATCAGAAAATCCTGCTGATGGCTGCTGCTGACTGTGAACACCCCTTTCTCTATTTTTCTCCACAGGCAGCTGAACCTCCTGAGCACTGCAACGCCTGCAGTTGGTGCTTGGCTTGTTCCCATTGATCAGGTGAAATCTTCGTTAAATAAACTGGAAACGGAAGGAACCCTGCGAATCTGTGCTGTTATGGGGTGYATTATGACAGAAGCWCTGGAGGTAAATCWCCTTGMTTAAATCAATGAGCATATCAGAACAGGACAGTGTGATAGGCAGCTCATATTTTTTGGAGTTCTGGATATTTTCACTGATGAACTTAGAGAATGTCTTGTGAGCCTTTAGGACTGGTCACAAGAATTCAGTAGCTGTGCTTTTTGTACACAACCTAAATTTCAGAATTGTTACTGTTGAGGAAGTCTCATGCTTCTTACAGGAGTGCATCTTGAGGTAAAAGAAGAGAAAGAAATATGCCTGTAGTGCCTGGTGTATTTTATGAAATATTTTTGTTTGCTCTTGGTTTGATTGGCACTATCTAGCGGGARGATTCTGAGGTGATGCCCACACTGAGATCTTGTCTTGTATTGTGAGATGGATGACCTGAGTGTGAGGCTGGTTTTCTGCTCTACTCAAAAATAATCCTTTGCAGCAGTCTCTTATTCCTAYCTCCCTTCCTATTTCTTTTTCCTATCTTGCTTCTAGACTAAACCAAATTAGAACAAGTGCCTGTTTTGTATTTAACTGGTAATAAACAGTTTCTTTGAAAATTGCAGCTGGCTTTGCATATATGTCTGTTAGTCCAGAAGTAACATTATAGTCTGCAGTTTGAATCCAGGCTGTTGTTTTATTGCTTCATATAAATAAATACTCATCAAGAATGATTTTTCACATGCAGTATTTAAAATAAGGTGGGTACCCATGAGGCGAATCTTTGTTGCAGAAGTTCAAAATGGGGTTTGAAGTTTGTTGTATCATAGATGAAATCTATTGTTTGTGCTCATCCTCTGTTTGCAAATATGTTCATATGTTGAAAATCGTTTTATTTTAATCCAGAATAAAAGTGTSCACTTCCCTCTGAGAAGCAAGTACAACAGACTTACCAAAGTGGCTCGTTTCTTGCAAGAAAATCCTTCTTGTTTACTCTGTAATATATTGCACCATTAYCTTCATCAAGCCAATTACTCCATTATTGAGGATGCCACTATGGTGAGTTACCCAGGAAAACTGGACATATCTCAGTCTTTTAGKTTCAAATGTATGAATTCTAATGTCTTAAATCTGGCAACAGTTTAAGGAAGGTTATCAAACAAAAAAATGTAATGCAAACTCTTATGTATCTTTAAATTGATAAGTAGATACGGGTTCTCTAATTTCATTTTCTTTCACATCTGCTGTTTTTATGGCCTGTGTATATGCATTACGTTTATCAAACTATTTTATTACTAAATGCATGAGAGATCATAAAACAAAAGTGTATGCCTTTAAAACTGCATATGGCTTTTTAAAATCAGATTTTATTTCCTCTCTATCATATTGCAATAGCCTTTTTATGAGATTTCATTTTTCATGGTGTTAAAATGGAATAAATCTCAATTATTGAGGTAGGTGGATGAAGTGGTTAGTTTATTCTAAATTCTGTCCCTGGAATTAGTTTTCATTTCTTCTAGAAGTACTGGGGTAATGCAGGTAGTTTAAGGAAGGAGCTAGAATTGTACAAGCTATAGGGCTTAAGAATCTAATCTTTTTCTTGATGGCTTTAGCCTGTAAATGTCTAGATTGTAGTAGGAAGTAGTGTTTTGAACAAACATTAGGCACAAGGAGGAGTGTTTATTCCTGATTTTGTGTCATTTTCATAATCCAATTCCACAGCTGTCAGATTTAAACACTTTGGTTTTCAGCATATTCTGCTGAGAGCCAGTGATCGGGAATAGCACAGTTTGAGTCACAAATAGCACAGTTTGATTTGTGGTCAAAATAACAAGCTTTTGATTTCTTTAGGACAATTCAGTGATGTAATCAAAACAATCCCTAAATTTGGCCTCAAATTTATTTTCTTAAAATACTGCTTATGAACAATGGAAAAAACATAATCTTTTAAATTTCAGCTCTGTTTGTRCAGTCTGCCATAAATTTTAGCTCACAATTTTTAGCTTTATAATTACTTAAGTACATTTAGCTTCATATATAATAAACCTGCTTCCTGTTGTTTATTTTTGGCCCCTTGGCCAGATCCTCAGGTCGTGTAGATAAATGTATTTGCTATATTCAATGAAGCTGTAATTTTTATCTCCCAGCTTTTTGGYTTCTTGCTTGATGTGTTGTGGTGCCAGCATGTTTGTCATAAGCCTCTTAAGCACAGAGATTTAAGAAAGCTTTGACTTTTTCTGCCCTCCAGTTCACTTCAAAATGCTGTGATATTWATTTWTYTTTTTTTWAATTTAAAGAGYGATGGCCTTCCTGCCTTAGTGACCTTAAAGAAAGGTCTRGTTGCCTTAGCAAGGCAGTGGATGAAGTTCATAGTGGTAACCCCAGCCTTTAAAGGAGTCAGCTTGCACAGACCAGCCCAACCAATGAAACTGCAGCCAAATGCCCTCCACGAGCATGAGGATGGACTTGGACTGGACAATGGAGGGGGCCTTCAAAGTGACACCAGTGCTGATGGAGCAGAGTTTGAATTCGATGCAGGTATTTTTGTGTTGYTCTGTCTCCATAAAAATTCATAGAGATGAGTAGCTCCTCTCAGAGCTTTAGTTCTAATGCTTGAACAAATTATAGTCTCCTTTTTTAGAATTACTCAGCTTCTATTTTTATATCACCTTCCTTCTGAAGCTGCTGCTCATAATGATACTTACAGCATTACAATAATTAGTGTTTGCTCAGAGAAAAAGTGAACAGGAGACCTCTCTTTCTTCACATCTTTTGTCTTGTTATTTCCTGCACAAAATAAATCAACTGAATTATTTGCTCCTTTTCACTTAAAAGCCAGCAGCTTTAAGAGAGCAAACCCAAAGATGTTAATGTGTGAAACTTGCATGTAATCATATGTATGATAAAGGTTTCTGCTCCCTGCTCTAAAATAGCTGTTTTCATTGAGCAGAAACACTTGGATTATAAAACAAAAAACCCAGCAGACCCATGTCTGTGGTGTTCTTATTTGTCTGTAAATTAGACAGTGCTGTGTAGGTGTGTGTCAGCCCTTGCGAGTTCAAGACTGCATSTAGAGAAATGTGCCTAATAATAGATGATCTTGGCTCTCCAAATATGTATCAAAGTGGGAAACTCTTGGCTTGATTGCAGCTACTGTGAGTGAGCACACGATGCTCCTGGAAGGAACAGCCAACCGCCCTCCCCCTGCCAGCGCCTCCGGGCCTGTCACTGGTGCTGAGATCATGAGGAAGCTGTCCAAGACTCACACTCACAGTGATTCTGTGCTGAAAATCAAGGTAAAKGTCCAGGACTGGGCACCAGGGCAAAATGGGTTGTAGCTGTCCTGTTCAGGAGCAATTCTGTTGGCTGCAGATGAGTAAATGTGTACAAAAAGTAACTGTAACATAGGGAAGGTCTACTCCTGACCTTACAAAAGGGATGCTCCATCAGTTGGCCTGTGTTCTATATCTGTTCTTTATTTGCCAGTTAACCTCAGTGCCATGCCTCATGTGCATCATTTAAGGATGTGCCTAAACCTTTGCAGGCCTTCTTCTGTTATCTATGGCAGCAGAAACAAGGAATGACTATCATGATAAAGAATCTAAGACTACAATCTCTCCAGTAGCTTGTAGTAAGATTATTGTGTTCCAAGTTCATATTCAGACCAAATGTTGCTTCCTTTTTGCAGTTTCCACCCGCTTCATTTGTTTCTTTTCTGCACATAGGGCATCCATCCATATCATTCCTTGAGTTACACCAGCGGAGATACAGCCACGGATTCACCAGTGCACGTTGGCCGCTCYGGAATGGGAGTCAGGGAAAGTCCAAGGAAAGAAAGTCTGCTCAGCTATCTCACTGGCAGTTTTCCTAGCCTGCACAATCTTCTGGAAGGGACTCCTCAAAGAAGTTCATCTGCAGTTAAAAGTAGTTCTTTAACACGAACAGGTATGATGTAGCATAAGTAACCTCAAGGGAGAAGTGCAAGTGCATCAGGTTGGGAAGGGGAATTGCAGCTAACAGAAGAAATAAAATATTTTGCCTTTATTTAGTCTTCATTTWACTCAGCTTCAAATTTTGAGTCTTTTTGAAGGAATAAGGAAATAACCATTCTGTATTTGTCATCTTTTCTCTACMTTTTTAGTAGCTTGTAAAGATGGCTGAAACTAATATTTCAGTAACTTAGCTTGCATATGACAATTTGCAGATTTTTAGTAATRGCTTTTTCAACCAATATTTTTGAAGCTTGAAACATTGAAATGTTTATGCTCTGTGTTATTATTCAGAGTGTATTGTTATCTGGTTTTMTTTATATATAAATCACAAGTTTGATTCTGTATTTTTTCTAAAACCTTTCTCCTTTGCTGTCAGGGACTGAAATATTGTTCAGAAAAAAAGGTATTTTGGTTTCTTAATGACTCCTTTTCTCTAATTAACGGTAGAGATAAGCATCCATTAGTGCCATGTATAACTTCTGTGGTAGCCCTTGTAGTGTTGTTTGACACGTAATTTAGTGGAATAAACCTTGAGAATTAGGCTCATTTTTATAGTAAATACATGTTGTCAGTGCAATTGTGCCGTGTTCCTTGTTTTTACTGACTTGGATCAAAAAATGCTGAAGCTGTGATTTATCTGCCCAGGAAATACCGTGGCCACAGACATGTTGTCTGAACACCCTCTGCTGTCAGAGCCCTCCTCTGTGAGTTTCTATAACTGGATGTCCAATGCTGTRGGCAACAGGGGAAGTGTCGTGCAGGAAAGTCCAGCCACCAAGTCTGGCCACAACAGCCTTCCAACAGGTATTGCTACTTTGCAGCTGACTTGGAGATGGTTCCGGGCTGGCTGCGCCTGTGTTTGCCACMTTTTGTCTGAAAGTAATTGTGAGAGTGACTTACATTCAACAGAACTTAAATTAGTTCAAAATACTGTTTGGGGGACCTCTTATCAAAGTGGAAAATGAAAAAATGTGGTTTAAGCAAAACTGTTGTTATCTTTTCCCTCACCCTAGCTCCAAAAATTCAGCTTTTTCATACATTTGGAACTGACAGTGTAGCTGCCAGAACCATGTGTAGGTGCCAAAAGTTAARCGATAAAATCATCTTGTGTTGCAGAGTTCCTTGGCTATTGTTGGCTATTCCTGATGTAATTTGCATATGCTTATTTTGTAATGTGTGCATTGGAACCCTCATTTTCTCAGTTCATCTTTGAGCATCTATTTTGAAAGTAGCTTAGGAATGGGAAGTGGTTAACTGGTGTAAGGGAATGGAGAAAAAATACATTTCTGAAAGTTCTTAGGTGTATTAAAGAAACAGGTGTTTAACAACTTACTACAGAACTTATTGTTCTTGTAAGCCTGTCATCATTCAGGCTTTTCAAATGTGTGCCTTAGTTTTCTTTCTCACTAACACTGTATTTGAATATTTTTTTTCTGTTAACACTCCTTCAACTTGCTATATTAATCTTAGGCAATAAGTTGTTTCAGTTTGGTTTTAATATCGAACATATAGTCTGATCCTGCAAACATCATCATGCTGTACGTATTGCTGAACTGCTGTGGCTCCTTTGTAAGCTGGAATGTGTTTCTCTGCAGAAAGACTTTCCAAATCTGAGTTGAACAATCTGGGTTGTATATGTGTATAATGAATCTTGCTGAATTACTAGAGTTGGTGGTGATAAGATTTGCTGTGGTGTTAGTGTTCCATGGGTATTTATTTTTCAGGTGTGGCACCCAATCTTCCCACTATCCCCTCTGCTTCAGACTTCAACACAGTTCTGTCCAGTGACCAGAACACCCTGGATGGCACCCACTCGCAGCACAGCACCAGCCAGGATGACATTGCAGGGGTAGAAGAGGGAAACCAGGGCTTTCCTGCTGTCCAGCTGGCAGATGCACAGGTAACAGGGGTTGCACATCAGCAAATGATGAACAAAAATGTGGAARTAATTAAGGCCTTCATGACTAAACCCCTGTGTTTTGTTTTGTAGGTTGTTTTCAAACCTCTGCTAAGTTACACAGGAATTCAGTCCCAGGATGCGATGCCCCTGTGCTACAGAATGTACTTTGGAGAGTACCTCTCTTTCTCAGGAACTCTGGACTGCCTCAGGGCAGATATTGTTGATTCAGACACAGCAAAGGAAAGGAAAAGCAAGCGAGCCCGAAGGTATGATGAGAAAGATTTAAAAACATGTGTATTGGTTAAAGAACAGAAATTCGATTTTTCATGTGCCAGATTTCTAAAGCACTTTCATAGGGTAAAGAGCAGCCCTTTACTCTTCTCATCTTGCATTTTGTCTTCATGTCAGAAAGGTTTTTTTTAATCTTCCTGTGGAATGGTTTGGGAATTGTAACTATTTGAACCTTTGCTTTTGAAAACTGGAGATTGGGGAAGGAGGAGAGCTGGTGGGAATAATAGTGGGGGGGAATTTGAGTGGCTTTGAAATGACATTTAATAATTAATCCTGTAAATAATGATGTGCCCTTCTGTGAAAATGCAGAATCTTCCCCCAGACCAATTTTGGATACAGCTTCAGGATATAATTGAATGATTGCATGCCAAGCTAGGTTTCATAGAACTGGATTATTGCTATGTTAGTATGAAACTGTAAAAGTTCATTTTATTATATTTAGAACTGTGSTAAAAAGGTGATATCCTAAGGGAAATAAAAGGCTGGATTCACTAAATTAGACGTAAGCTGTGTAAAAAACRTATTTGACTCTYATTCTCATAAAAAGGAACACAGTAYTAACTTGTACCTTTTCTTTCCTCAGGCAAGGAGCTGTCAATCTTCCTCCTCTGGAATTCAAGCCAGCTTTGATGTTAGAGACTTTCAGCATTAGTGCCGTGGTGATGGAGAAATCCATGTGCACCCCTCACAACTCCACCAACGCCCTTTCCTTCCATGACTTGAACAAGCGCTATTACAACACCTTTCACTGCAATTTTACCATTTCCTGCCARTCCATCAGCCAGCACGTGGACATGGCCCTGGTGAGGCTGATCCATCAGTTCAGCACCATGATCGATGACATCAAGGCCACTCAGACAGACATCAAACTGAGCAGGTACACGGCTGGCTCGGCCTCCCCGACCCCCACCTTCAAAACGCGCAAGCACAGAGACTTCCGCTCGTCGGACTTCAGCCGCAGCTCCCGAGGGAGCCTCAACGGGGGCACCAGGGTTAACAACACCAAGAACAAGCGAACCAACAACGAGAACAACAAGAAAGAGTCACGGAATAAGAATTCCCTGGGGAGGTCCGAGCGGAGGACTTCCAAAGTGTCCAGGAAAGGCTCCAAAGATGTGGTTGACCAYGTGGCGATCCATATGGATGACTCGGACTCCATTACCGTGTCGGAGCAGAGYGAGCCCTCTGCTGAGTGCTGGCAAAATATGTATAAACTATTGAACTTCTATTCACTCATTTCTGAYCCAACTGGCATCTTAGAAAAGTCTTCTGAAACTTTTGGGCCMACAGGTAAACTGCTTCATGAAYCCARATARTTGAGTGTGTGTRYTTTTGCTCRAATGTGGTTTGCTAAAGCTTGGTTSTGAGATGGCTTTTGGAAGTTGCCCTCCCCATCTGACTTGGATCACAGGGGCAAGTGGTGAGGATGGAGGGGAGCTTTGGGTTAGTTGACCAAGGTGATGTACAAAAGAAAAGCTTAAATTTTCTCATGAATTGTGTCATGTGGATTGATTGAGTTTGTTCTTCCTGAGGTGCTGTTTTGTGTTCAAGGGGCTACTGGAAATGCYCTTTATTACCATTYTCTGAARATAWGCAAGCATRTACATAAGTCATTKACTGACAGTKAAAAAAAAWRWMTSTG